GAAATCAACACTGAACTTCCCTTGGCATAGCAACTATTAATTTTTTTTGGCAATTTCCCCTGATCTTTACTAACTTCTGGGCAATTTAAAGGGGTGGTAATCAATTTGACATTTACTTTTATCTTTCCTGACTGCTATTTCTTATTCACCTTTCTGTGTCATTTGTGATATGAAAGTGGTGTCTCCACTTACCTCACTGTTTCCCAACTTTTGGCCATTACTCTTGCCTCCAGGACTTCACAATTTAAAAGAATACCATGGGAACCCTCCTTGTAGAATTTGTGCTTGTTTTTTATGTTTCCATTTCTATTTTGAGTCAGTGTCTCATACATCCCAAGCTGGATATATGAGACAAACTCACTATGTAACCAGGGTGTTTTGATGGCCTGGAATTTGTTATGTAGACCAGGCTAGCCTCAAACATACAGCAACCCTCTTGCTTCTGCCCTGAGTGCTGGAATCACAAGCATCGCTAGCCTGTTGTGTCCAGCTGTTTGTTTTGAGGCAGAGTCCCCTTATAAAACCCAGGCTGGCCTCTAAAGGCAATCCCCCTGCCTCTGCTTCCCCGGTGTTAAGTTTTAAAAGCATGTACCACCATGTTCTGCAATTCTCTGTAGAATTTTTGAAAAGAACTTCCTTATGCTGACGAATGGACAAGATCATTTTCATAACTGTTGATGCCTTTTACCACATTGGCCTCTGGAAATGTTCTGGCCTCTGAAAATGTCCAGGTCACAAAGAAGAAATCTCTTGTATCTTTAATTTTTTTTTTGTTTTTTGTTTTTCTAGACAGGGTTTCTATGTGGTTTTGGAGGCTGTCCTGGAACTAGCTCTTGTAGACCAGGCTGGTCTCGAACTCACAGAGATCTGCCTGCCTCAGCCTCCAGAGTGCTGGTACTAAAGGTATGTGCCACCACTGCCCGGCTCTTTAATGTTTTTAAAGGTAGCATATACAAGTAAAGTTGTCTTGGCTTTTTCAAACACACACTCCATTATTGCTTTTATTCATTCTCCTCCCCTACATTCTTAATATTTTACAACTCACAAAGCATTTCCAAAAATAACATTAATTATGATATGAACACTGAGAGAGAATTAACACTAGGGTTTTTTGTTTTGTTTTCTTAAGACAAGACTACATGTACCCAGGATGGCTTCTCATTATGTACCCAAGTCACTCCTGATCCCCCTGCCTTTGCCTCCTGAGTTCTGGAATTACAGGTGTGCATACCACATCTGTTTTATGTGGTGATGAGAATCGAACCTGGGGTTTTGTGTATGTGAAACAATCACTCTAGCAGTTTTGAGATACCCCTCGCCCCCAGCATGAATTTTAAGAGTTTTGCTCACGTAATGAGTGAAAGGTTTCTGTAGCAGGAGTGATGCAAGCAGTAGCAGTGACTAGAGTTTGATAGCTGTTGGCAACCCCAAGTAGCAGTGTGCGTAGTTCTCTCACTGTGCCCCATATTCAAGATACTTGAACAAGAATTACAAAGAGTTATATATGGCAATAACAATCAGTACATCATAGTTTTTTCGATGTTCACAAAGGTCCTAAAATGATTGACTTTGAACCTCAAAATAGCCATGAGAAAATTTCAAGCAGAATTTCTAAGATAATAGAAAAAAAAAAGGTTTCCTAAGCCAGGTAATAAAACAAAAGAATAAGAACATTCAACCAATCTAGAAAAACCATAAAGAGTAAAAGAAGCATGAAGCACAGAATGAGACAGGGATAGTCCAAATTGACCAGAAGCCAGGGGATCTAGACAAGTTCAACTTACTTGCTAAAAGACACACAGTGTAAAGTTGTATTAAAGTCATTTACCAGCTGTTTTTAAGGGATACACAATTCAAATGACAAAGAAAACTGAATGAATATTAGCCAAGAGAGCTCAGTTATCAGTATCAATGAAGACAGTTGCTCAGAAAGTATCAGAAGGATGCAAAGGTAGACATAAGATAGCATCTCATGGTAGCTTAGGCTTTTACCACATTAACTTTGGTTCAAGTAAGACAATTTCCCAGAAGCACTTTACTGAGAATTGGGCATTTGATTGATAGGTCTGTTGAGCCTTAATGCTTTGTTGTTGTTTTGTTTTTTGTTTGTCCTAATCCCTCAGTCTTTCTTTGTAGCACAAGTTCTAATTGGTCTTAATAATAAAAACCTGGACTCAGATATTAGCGGGTGAAAGCTGAAAGATCAGAGAAGCAGAGCAACCAGCTACTAGAGTTCTTCCCTCTATAAAATTTCCAGACTCAAAAGAGGCTGAGCTCCTGTCCTTCCCCCGGCCTTATATTCCTCTCTCTGCCCAGCCATATCACTTCCTGCCTGCCAGTACAGATCTCCAGATCTCTATGGTTAACTAGTGGCTAGCTCTGATCTTCAGACAAGCTTTATTTGTTAGAGTACAAACAAGAAATCATCACATTTCTTCTTAGATAGTTCCCATTATTACAAGGTCTATTTTTTTTTGTAGTGGAATGTAACTACTATGATATATCCATTATTTTTTTCAGTTAACTATTTTTTTTCTGAGATGATTTTCAAAGTGTGTGTGTGTGCTTACATGAGGTTCACATGCTGCTCTTCCAGAGTACTAGGGTGGACCTGAATGCAGTTCCTAGCACCATCAGGCAGCCAGCTTCCAAGGCACCTAACACGCTCTTCAGCTCTACACAGGTACACATACCCACACACATACATGTAAGATTAATAACATATTTTTAAATAGCATGGCACTATCACTAGTACTCACATATGAGTCTCAAAATTCATTTTAAAAAATTACAATCATTATCATAAGATATTACTTAGTAAGCATTCTTGTCACGTAATTTCTAGTCTACATTCAGAATTCCCCGAGTCCCTCAATTTCTTTCTTTTTTTTTTTTTTTTTTTTTTTGAGACAAGGTCTTACTATTGTAGCCATGGTTGGATTAGAACTTGCAGGGTCACAGGCCTGTCTCACGAGGCCTGGCTGCTGTTGCTATTGCTGCTGCTGCTTTTCCTCCTTTTTTCTCCTTTCTTCCACCTCCTCCTCCCCCTCCTCCCCCTCGTCCTCTTCCCCCTTCCCCCCTCCTCCTTCATCTAAACGTAAAGCTAAGTGTAGACGCACACCTCTAATCTTAGCACTTGGGAGGCAGAGGCAGGTGCTTCTCTCTGAGTTTGAAGCCAGCCTGTTCTATCTACATAGGGAGTTTAGACAGCCAGAGTTACATGGTGAGACCCTGTCACAAAATCACAGCAACAGAAGAATAAAATATGATGACATCATTTCCCTTTCCTCCCTCCAACCCCTCTCCATTTACTGCCTCCCTTTACTTTCTCTCAAATTCATGGCCTCTCTTTCCATTGTTCTTCACAGACACACACACACACACACACACACACACACACACATACACACTCACATAATGTATACATACACATACATACAAGCAATCTACTGAGTCCACGTTACTCGAACATATATGACTTTAGGGCTAACCACTTGGTATTGGATAACCAACTAGGGGGCTCCTTCCCAGACTGTTTCTTCTGCCCTCAGCAGTCCTTAGTTGCCTTGTAGGTCTTTATCTGGTTGCCCCCTTCCATGTTAGCATGTCTACTGATGTTGTACTTGTTCGGGTCTTGTTTAGGCAGTCATATTGCTGAGGTATCATGTGTGAAACTTCCCTGTCATTTCTAGGAGAGGCATCTCACAGGTGTCCTGGTCCTCCCGCTCTTACAATCTTTTCACCCCTCTTCTGAGATGTTCCCTGAATCTTAGGTACAGGAATTGTGCTGTGGGTGTATGAACTTAGACCAGGCACTCAGAGCCAGGCTTTTATTTATTTATTTTATGAGACTGATGGTTAAAGGTGATCCTCCTGCCTCAGTCACCTAAGTGCTGGAATTGCAGGCCTGAACCTTCACAGCCAGCCCTTTCTCCTACTTTGAAAATAACCAATTCCTACCCTGTGACTTTGCTGACAGGAACAGACTTTCTTCCTACCTATGAGAACTCTGTGTTATAACAGCATCCAGTTTTGGGTCTACAGTAGCAGTCCCCAGACTTTTGGTATTAAACATCCTTTTGCACTTTTAAACACTGCTGATCATAGAAGTGTACATATGTTATTGATAACTCAGTGGTAAAGCTTTAAAAATCTACATATATATACATATATACATATATTTTTTAATGAGAGTTTTGCCTGCATATTTGTGCAACCTGTCTATACCTAGTACCCGGGGAGGTCAGACGAGAGTGCCAGATACCCTTGAACTGGAGTTACTGATGGCTGGGAGCCACCATGTGGGTGCTAGGAATTGAACCGAGGTCCTCTGCAAGAACAAGTGCTCTTAACGGCTGAGTTATCTTTCCAGTCCACAAAGCCTTTGCCCAGTACACACAAGGCCCTTGCAAGGATCTCAACACAAACCTGTGGAACATTAACTAGCAATATGTACATCTTACTGGGAATTAAAACTGATTTATTCTAAAGCATCATCACAATCATGTGATCAAGAGAAACTACTAGCCATTAGAAAGGGACAGTGAAAAATACAAATGCACAGTATTGTCAGTAAAGTGGATGTCATTAACAAACCACTTCATGGGTTTCCAAATGCACCCCAGCCCGGCCCATTCTTGCAGTTCAGGGATGCAAGTGTCGAGAGCAGAGTCTTGGTCTTTCCTACTTAAAAAGTTATTCTTTTCAAACCGGGCTTGGTGACTGTAAAAGTAATACTCGGAAGGTTGAGGCAGGAGAATCGCGAGTTCAAAGCCAACTTGGCCTGCAGACAGAGCCTACCAAAACACCAAAACACACTAAACAGTTAAGCACCAAAACACACTAAACAGTTAAGCCGGCAGCGGCTGCCCCAAGCAAGTAAACAGCAGGAAGTCAGACACCATTGCCCAGCCGCTAAGGGGCAGCACCGGGAAAACCCGTAGGCCTCCCCCTTCCCGGCATGCCCCGGGCGCGCGAGAGGCGTGGACAAGGGCGCGCGCGCCCCACATGACCCCAGGTCAAGCGAGGCGGGAATCGGAGTTTGCGGCTGCTGGGTCTCTTGGCGTGCGTTCTTCAGCTTTTGGGTCTGCACCTCTGAGCCGGCCCGTACCCTCCGGGGGAACCGGACGCCCTCGAGGCCGGAAGTGCTCCCGCCAGCAGCTAGCAGCGTGTGTTCCCAACTTTTCGGGCCTCTCGTGGCGTCCGCTTCCCGGCTTGCCCAGCTTCCGCCTGAGGTTAATCCTGCTCCTGGCGCTGAGATACGAAACGTGGTGCAAACATGTCCCAGATCGAAAAGATGAGCATTCTGGGCGTGCGGAGTTTTGGGATAGAGGATAAAGATAAGCAAATTATCACTTTCTTCAGCCCACTCACAATTTTGGTTGGACCCAATGGGGCGGGGAAGACGGTAAGTGCTGAGGCGAGGGCCCCGGAAGGTGCTTGGGGGTGTCGCCTGGCATGGCGCATGGACCTCAGCCACCTAGGAGCCACTGTTTGGGCTTGGCTCTTGTTCCCGAGGGAGGCCGTCTACGCCCGTGCTCTCCAGCCCCGCCCCCATGTTCCCTAAGCACAGCCGTCACTCCCCATCAGTTGTTCCCCTCTGACCCCCTCCCCAAAGGTATAAAATGTGGGGAATTCGTAACCCAGAGTTTCAAAACATGCCTCCTGGTAGGGCATAATGAATGGAAAATAAGTTGCTCAATGTGAAGATGAGCTGATGGAGTGGGCCTCAATCTGGAAAACTATTTGTTACCACGCGTCTAAAAATTTTGGCTGTGCATTGTCAAGCACATCTTTAATCCTAAATTGGCAGGGGCATGCCCATTTTTGTGAGCTCGAGGCCAACCTTGTCCACATACCGAGTTGCAGGCTAGCCAGAAATGCCATGTTGGGTGTTGAATGCCAGGAGGTGGACCTTTCTGCGGAAACGTTACGTGGTGAATGTCTGTAACGTATGTACTTAACATCCTACCAGGTGCAGTCATAGCATTCGTCTCCTGGAAGAAAGACCTAATTTGGCGTTTATAATCACTAGCTGTATAAGCATATTTTTTGTTATTATTTATTTTGGAGACAGCATCCCACGTAGCTTAGGCTAACCTTGAACTCCTGATCTTCCTGTCTCGTGTCGTCCCCCGCCCCCTAGTGCTGGAATATTTGTCGTAAGCTTCTGTGGTTCTCTTATAACTAAATAACACAATTTTCTATTTCTTTAGACCATCATTGAATGTCTAAAATATATTTGTACTGGGGATTTCCCTCCTGGAACCAAAGGAAATACATTTGTTCATGATCCCAAGGTAATGGCGTTTGTAAAGTTTCATATTTAAAAAATGAATTTTTTATAATTATAAACGTACTAGTTGCTTATTGTGGAGGACCTAACAATGGAAAGTATGAGGAGAGGAAGGTCATCTACAGTCTAAGCACCTCGAGATGAACAATTGGTATTTTCATTAATTTTTCCCTCCATATGTACTGTTTTACAGAGCAGAGATCATAGTCCTATCTAATGATACATTAAAGTGTATTCCCCACTAAGCGTTGTCAAACTGTGAGGTTATTAAAACACCATAGGGCTGACAAGGTGGTTCAGCAGGTAAATGCACTTGCTACGCAGGCCAGGGGCCAGACATGCGAAGGTGAAGGAGAGAATTCACGCCACATATGCCATAGCAGTGTGCCCACATACAAACATGCACATGTGTGCACATGTGCCTTCGAGAGCACACACAAAAAATAATAAAAAAATAATTAAAAAACCCCACCATAAGCCGGGCGTTGGTGGCTCACGCCTTTAATCCCAGCACTCGGGAGGCAGAGGCAGGCGGATCGCTGTGAGTTCGAGGCCAGCCTGGTCTTCAGAGTGAGTTCCAGGACAGCCTCCAAAACAATACAGAGAAACCCTGTCTCAAAAAACAAAAACAAAACAAAACAAAACCCCACCATAATGAATTTTTAATCTGGGTGTTTGGGATGTGTTTTCAGTCTTTATATATATATATATATTTTAAAGCTGATCTTTATTTTAAAATGTGGTGCTGTATAAATATCGTTAATAATTGCATTATTATTTGCATTTAGATTGCTTTTAGTTTTTCCCTGTAGTCTACCAAATCTTAGTGAAGCTTTGCTTGAATTGCAGTGTTTTTGCTACTAGTGTGTATACAGAACGTTGAGTTTGACCTGTGCGTTTTTCTTACTGCATATCTGTACACAAGAATATGAATTTACTTAGTGCCATTAAGTCTCAGCAAGTTAAGGGTTTATTGTTAAATTCTTTCTGTGCTTTTAAAACCATGTCTTTGAATATCTATAAATGTACTTGCACATTTATCTTTTAGTGTATCCCTATAAATTTATCATGCAGGTTAGGTTAGTGGTGTGTTATGCATCTGTTAATACACATACACAATTGCAGGTTTTAGTTTCCATTCGGTTGAGTTTATGTCCTGTAGGGTTGTTATTTGTTTACTTTAAGACAAAGTCTCACTGTATATTCTTGGCTGACCTGAAACTGGCTATGTAAACTAGTCTGGCCTTGAATTTAACAGAGATTAACCTGCCTTTGCCTCCTGAATTAAAGGCACGTGTCACTACTTACTACCAGCCCTAGTTTATTTAACCAGCCACCTGATAGTCATCTAAGTTGTATCAGTAACTGTAACTTTGATGGAGGCCTGGTTTACTGCCACATGCCTGTATTCCAGCACTCTGGAGGGGAGGCAGGAGGATCAGGAGATCAAGACCAGACCAGGCTACATGAGACCGTGTCTCAAATGAACAAATCCAAGTTGTCATGGTTTTTGTCAAGCTGACACAAACCTAGACACACCTGGAAATGAGGGAACCTCAACTGAGGAATTGCCTCCATCAGATTGGCCTGGGAACCTGTCTGTGGGGCATTTTCTTGATTGCTGATCTATATGGGAGGGCCCAACCCACTGTGGGTAGTACCATCCTTGGGCAGGTGGGTGTGAGCAAGGTAGCTGAGCAAGCCAGAGAAACAAGCCAGTAAACAGTGCTCCTCCATGGTCTCTGCTTCAGTGCCTTCCTCCAGGTTCCTGGCTTGAGCTCCGGCCCCGGCTTCCCTAGATGAAACTAACTTGTAAGCCAAATAAACCTCCTCAAACTGTGTTTGACCAGTGTTTTAGCAACAACACCTAACTAGTACACAAACCAAACCTAACCTCACAGAAACTCCTAATGTGACTTTAAATTTTCATGTGACTAAAGATAATGAAAATATTTATGAATTTCATCTTGTAAATAGTCTTACTGCTTAGTACATTTTTACTAAGCCCTCTCTAAAATGAGTGCTTCATACCCTGACTTTCCTAAATCTATAATCTCTGCTCAGTTAATGCTTTGGGCTTGCACTCTATTGAGAAATAGGAGGGAGGGATTAGGTGAACATTCCTCCAGTTTTTATAAAAATCTACCAAGCTATCCTACATGTGTGTCTATACTGTTCATAGTATTGAATATAAATTTTTTGTGAGTAATTCCCTATATTCACATCCTTCCCTTCTACTGATTCTACCTCCAGAACTCCAGTTTAGTAAATGAGAACATGATCCACACTTTTTTTTTCATGCCAAAACTTGGGGGTTGAGGCCAGGCATAGTAGCACACACCTTTAATCCATCACACAGAAAGCAGAGGCAGGTGAATTTCTGTGAGTTTGAGGCTAGCCTGGTCTACAGAGTGAGTTCCAGAACAGTCAGAGCTGTTACACAAAGAAACCCTGTCTCAAAAAAACAAAAACCTGTGGGCTAGTCTTAATTGATTCCTTTATTTTATCCCATTTCTGATGCACAAACCAGTCTTTGCTACTCCTTAACATGTATCTAGGATTTGTCCTCTTCATTCTGTTGCCACCACTGCTTAGGTACAAGCCACCACCAACTGATTTGAACTGTCAGTGATCCTCTAAATTGTTTACTTGCCTGTACTCTTGAAGTAAGTTCTAGACCATCCAGGGCTACAGAGAGACCCAGTCTCAAAAACAAATAAGACACAATTTTTTTTCTTTCATATAGCAAGCAACACCTGTAAGTATTTGTTCAGGAGGAAGAGAGTTGCTTCAAGTCTGGGACAGATTGTTCCAACCAGTGTTAATATTGAGTGCAGAGTCCCAGAAATGAAAACATGCTGGGTGTGTTCAAGGACTCAGAGGAGCAAAGTGGTGAAGGCAAACAATAGAAAACCAAGTCAATGGCCTGGCGTTGGTGGCGCATACCTTTAATCCCAGCACTCGGGAGGTAGAGGCAGGCGGATCTCTGTGAGTTCGAGACCAGCCTGGACTACCAATAGAGTTCCAGGACAGCCTCCAAAGCCACAGAGAAACCCTGTCTCGAAAAAACCAAAAAAAAAAAAAAAAAAAAAAAAAAAAAAAAAGAAAGAAAAGGAAACCAAGTCAACATTAGAGGACACTAGATTCTGTGAAGTCGATGTTTGGAAGACTTTGAGCAGAGAAAACAGATATGAGATGTGTGTTAGGGCTCACTCTGTTGCTGACAGAAGACTGTAAGTGGCAGAGGCAGGAGACAGACTGAGAGGCCTGTCTGTGATCATATTGGTGGTCTAGTTAAGGCAGTAGAAGTGATGAGAGACAGATTTGGGGTGTGACCTGAGGGTAGAAGCAACGGATTAGCTAATGTTTTGGATAATGATGTTGAGAGAAGCTGAAACATGGTCTCAGGCTTTCTCCTTGAGTAAGTTGTTAAGATAGTTTTCCACCAGGGCTGTGTTAGTGCACACCTTTGATCCAGCACTTGGGAGGCAGAGGAAGGTGGATCTCTCAGTTTGAGACCAGCCTGGTCTACAGAGACTCCAGGACTACACAATGAGACCCTCTCCTTCTCTCTCTCTCTCTCTCTCAAAAAAATGCCTTTAATTGTCATAGAGGTACTCAAAAAGGGAATTTGGGTGGGTCTGGTTTACATATATAAGTTTGAGGTATTCAGTAGATCTCCAAAGTAAATATCCAATTGCCAAAAAGAAAAAAGTACCATTGAGAAATTACAAAAGAAAATTAGGAATTATTGATAAATACATAGTTCAGTACAGTTATATTTAGAGCCTGAGAATGTCAAGTAGGAAGTGAATAAAAGAGAAGGGTTTCAAGGTCTGAAGCTAGGGCACTAGAGCTGATGTGTTTATAGATCAGGAAGAGGAGAGGCTGGCAGTTACTAAAGGAGCCTGCCATCAACTTCACTACGTTAACAGTTAGTGAAAGGGTGTTTAGATATATGGAGCCATTCGCTTCTCTTGACAAAGTGAGCTTCATGGTGAATTTTTTTCCCCTGAACTAAGAGGGCAACAGCTAGAGAATTTTTATTTTTTTTCTTTTCTTTCCTTTTCTTCAAGATAGGGTTTCTCTGTGTATCCCTGGCTGTCTTGGAACTCAGTTTGTAGATCAGGATGGCCTTGAGCTCACAGAGATCCACCTGCCTCTGCCTTCAGAGTGCTGGGATTAAAGACGTGTTCCACGCTACCCAGCAAGAGTTTTTCTTGGCTATTGTTATTAGTGGTTATAAAAGTGGGATATACTACAGTGTATAGACCATTGAGAATGTCTGGCTAGAGGGGAAATGAACACTGAACAAAAGAGGTGGCTAAAGCTACATGATCATGAGAAAATAAGTTAAACAGTATACTTCCAGTATTTTGAAAATATGTAAAATTAGCTTATTTTGAATGAGGTCTTTAGTGGCTTTCTGCTCATTTTTGGATAAGCAAGGTGTTAACGTTCTTTCCTTTCTTGATAGAGACATGCTGGCACTGCTTATGACAGTGTTTTTCTGTTTACCATCAAAGGTTGCTCAAGAAACAGATGTTCGAGCCCAGATTCGCCTGCAGTTTCGGGATGTCAATGGAGAAGTGGTGGCTGTGCAGAGGTCTATGCTTTGCAGTCAGAAAAGCAAAAAAACAGAATTTAAAACCCTGGAAGGAGTCATTACTAGAAGAAAGTAGGTATTCACCTTGTACTTAGATAGCTGCTCACACTGGTCTTCTGGGCCTAGAAAGCTTCCTGTAACTATTGTTTTATTTTAGGAGAGTATATTTTCTTTCCTCAGGATTTTGTTTTTCTTTTTGATATATTTTTTTTCTTTTTGAGACAAGGGCTTATACTGAAGCTCAGCCTGGTTTGGAACTCACTCACTATGCTGCCCAGAATGGCCTCAAACTCAAAGGGGATGCTTCTGCCTCAGCCTTGTGAGTGCCAGGATTATAGGCATACATCTCCACACCTGACCTCAAGCTTTACTTTTTAGAGTAATTTTGTATTCACAGAGTAGAACTCCATATATTCCATGCCTCCATATGTTCTGCATCTTAGCCACTATCAACATTTAGTTTTTTGATGCTATTTATTTTGATTTTTTTCAATTTCTTTCTTTTTTTTGTTTGTTTGTTTTTGTTTGTTTTTTTTTTAGACAGGGTTTCTCTGTATTGTTTTGGAGGCTGTCCTGGAACTAGCTCTTTATACCAGGCTGGCCTCAAACTCACAGAGATCCACCTGCTTCTGCCTCCCCGAGTGCTGGGATTAAAGGCGTGCAGTTTTTCAATTTCTTTTTTAACATTTATATATTGAATATGTGCTGGGAATCAAACCCAGGTTGTCTGCAAGAGCAACAAATGGTCTAAACCACTGAGCTATCTCTCTAGCTCAGAAATAGAAAGGCCTTATTAAAGATTTAGCAATACTATTCCATTACCTTATGTCATGTATGAATAGTTGTTGTAATTGAGAGTATATAACTGTTCAAGCACAGGTTGTGTAAATCTCTGTACTCTCATGTACAGAGATGGGTGAGGTGAAAGTAGTCAAGTAGGGAAGACTAATAATTTATCCTTTTGACCATTGTCAGTGTGTTAGAGTTGGTACTGCCTTGTAACGGGTATGGATTTTGGAGGTAGGCTTTAATGAGAAAAGAATGCCAGAAGTTTGCTTTATATTTTTGGAGTTTGCTTTGTGTTGTTGAGATAAAGGTCTCATGTAATGTAGGTTAGTTTGAAACTTCCTATGTAGCCAAAGATGACTTGAACTCCTGGTCTCCCTGCTTTCTCCTCCCAAGAAGAAATTATAGGCATGTACTACTAGTACAGTTTGTGACAGCCCAGGCTGGTCTCAAACTCACAGTAGTCCACCTGCGCTAGCCTCCCTAATACTAGAATTACAGATGTGAGCGACCACTCCCAGCTCTCACACATACTTGGACTTTTAAATATGCTAATTTGAAATATTTTTATATAATAGGAATTATTCATTCTTCCATCCCCAGAATTAAAAACACAAGAGACTTAAATAGAATACGATCATCAGTAGCGGACAGGGAAAGATGAATAAACAGAAACACAAATAATGTGGGTTAGGAAATGGGTTTCATCACTTCTCAGCCTTTTGACTAAGATCAAGTATAGAAAATTGTTACTAAGGCTAGAGAGATGACTCAGCGGTTAAGAGTGCTTGCACTTTCCAGAGGACCCAAATTTTGTTCTCAGCACCTGCATCAGGCCACTCATAATCACCTATAACTCCAGCTCCAGAGGATCTGATACCAAGTGTGTACTCAAATTGGAAGATTCTTGCCAAACAAGAATGAGGGCCCAAGTTTGATGTAGTCATATTGCTTGTGAGTCCAGCTCTGGGGAAGCAGACAGGAAGGTCTTGGGACTTGCTGGGTACTTAGCTGAATCAGTGAACTCCAGCTTTAGTGGTGAGAGACTCTGTCTCAGAAGAAAGTTGGAAATTGATTGAGAAAGACACCTTGCATTGTCCTCTTCACATGAATATGTACACACAGACATTCTACACAGAAACAAGCACATAGATCTAAAAATGTCGTAGTATGTTCTTAAAAATTCTTGCCGCCTTTCTTGCACTACATAACCTCATCTGTGAACTTTTTGACTATGAAGAGTTAGCTTTTTCCCCTGTGTGTATGGGTGGATATTCCCGTGGGTATATCTGCAGGTGTGCTTGTGTTTGAAGAAGCCATAGTTCAGCCTTGGGTATGGTTCAACGGGAGCCATTCACCTCATTTTTTGAGACATAGTCATTTATTGACCCGGAGCTTGCTAATTTAACTAGGCTAATGGCCTGTGAGTCCCAGGAATCCTCCTGTCTCTGCCTCCTCATCACTAAGGCTACAAGGGCAAGTGTGTGGTACACCTGTGCTTTCTGTTACGTGGTACTGGGGATTGAACTTCAGTTGTGATGCTTGGGTGGCAAGCACTTCAACTAATCTGTCTCCCTTGTTCCAAAAGTTTTCTTAGCATGAGGACACTGTTTAATGGGATAGGTAAAGGGCCAGTTTGTTTGTTTTTATGAAGAATAGCATGTATTGAATATGTGGCTCAGTTGGTAGAGTATTTGCGTAGTATAAAGTCTTCAGTTTGATGCCCAGCACAACATATCCTAGGTGTGGTGGCAGACCCTTGCAATCCTAGCACTTGGGGGTTGGGGATAGTTCTTGGTACATAATGAGTTTGAGGCCAGTTTTAGGTAGATGGGACCTCAAGAAAAGGTTTTGTAAGATTAAACAGTAGAGTAGGTACCTCCAAAGGTCACTTAACTGACAGCCTTGATTCTCACCTTTGTAGGCATGGTGAAAATGTCAGTATCAGCTCCAAATGTGCAGAAATCGACCGAGAAATGATAAGCTGTCTTGGGGTTTCCAAGGCTGTGCTAAATAATGTCATTTTCTGTCACCAAGAAGATTCTAACTGGCCTTTAAGTGAAGGAAAGGCCCTGAAGCAAAAGTTTGATGAGATTTTTTCAGCAACAAGGTTTGTAACTGAACTTTATAGCTGTGAAATTGTTTAGTTCTGTTGTGTTTTGTGAGGCTGTGCTTGAACCATGCCCTCATGCCAAGGTACCTGTGTTTCACTGGGCTGGGTATTTCTGTTGGTTTTATTGCCCAGGCTGCTCTCACACATCTGTCTTCACCCAGCATCTGGACCTTTAGGTACACACCACCATGGCCACCTTGATACACTTTTATAAAAGAAAAAGTTACAAAGCAAAAAGATCAGCACTCACAACCATTGGCATACTTCCTTTCAGTTTTCTTACTGTGCATGTTTCTCTGATAGAATAAATGTAATATTTTCACTTAGCCATGATGTCATAAACATTTTCCAGGGTATTAACTCAGTGTAATATCAATGTTTACATAATGTTCCACTGTAATTTACTCAGCCAGAAAATTTACTTTTATTTCATATCTTCAAAGGTACATTAAAGCTTTAGATACACTTCGGCAGGTACGTCAGACACAAGGCCAGAAGGTAAAAGAGTGTCAAACAGAATTGAAATATCTGAAGCAAAATAAAGAGAAAGCTTGTGAGATTCGTGACCAGATTACTAGTAAGGAAGCCCAGTTAGCATCTTCACAGGAAATTGTCAAGTCCTATGAGAATGAACTTGAGCCTTTGAAGGTAATTGATTTTTTTTTTTAGTGGGCAAATTAAAATTGTATATATTTATGATATATAATATGATTTCCTGTAAGTATTTGCTATAGGGATGGGTAAAGCCAGCTAATTAACATTTGGGTTATGTCATATCTCTTTTTTGTGTTGGTAGGAGTACTTAAGATTTATTTTCTCTGCAGTTTATAAGTACACAACAATTAGTTACTGATTATCTTTACCATGAGGTAGTAGCTGTTATCTAGCATTTTAAGAAGAAATCCCCCTCCCCCACCACGAAATCATTTACCCCTAAAGCGCTATTTATTTATTTTTTTGTTTGTTTGCTTTGGTTTTTCAAGTCAGGGTTTCTCTGTGTAGTCCAGACTCTCTGAGAATTTACTCTGTAGGCTAGGCTGGTCTTGAACTCAAGGATCCTTCTACCTCTTCTCAAGTACTGAGATTAAAGGCATGCGCCACCACCTTCCAGCCTAAAATACCTTTTAAAAACCATTTATTTTTATTTTATGTATATCAGTGTTTTGCCTGCGTGTATGTTTATGGGTAGCTAGTGCAAGCTCCATTCTATGATCTTCAGACAGGCTTTATTTGTACAAGCAAGACATCACCACAGTGTACCATGTGCATGCAGTGCTTGGAAGCCAGAACAGGTGTCTGATCCCCTGGAACTGGAGTTGCGAGGCCCTGTGTGAGGGATGGGAATCAAGCTGCTCTTACTACTAAGCCATGTCTCCATCACCATAAAGTATCTTATTTTTATATGACCTTCCGGAGCACATATATCTTTTTAGAATTACCAGGAACTCAATTTTGTCTAAAGTCTTAGGTCTGTATTAGACAGTCAGTCATTCTTATTTATTTGTTTATTCATTCATTTATTTATTTATTTTTTTAGCGTAGACTTTTTCTTTGTAGCCCTAGCAGTCCTAGAACTGTAGACCAGGCTGGCCTCTGGTAGCCTCCACCTGTCTCTGCCTCTCAGTGCTGGACTTCAAGGTATGTGCTACCATACCCAGCTTAGACAGTTGGCCTTTAAATTGCCTGGTGAGGTTGGATTTAAGAGAAAGTAGATTGTGAGTGATTGGCACCGGTCCTAGCTGTTAAGCACTGCTAGGATAGACCTAACTTTACAGTTGTTTTCTATTTTTTGAGATTTTCAAATTGACAGCTCTTTGTAGAGAATTTTTATCTTTTTTTTTGGTTTTCAAGACAGAGTTTCTCTGTATTGTTTTGGAGGCTGTCCTGGAACACTCTCTGTAGATAAAGCTGGCCTTGAACTCACAGAGATCCGCCTGCCTCTGTCTCCTGAATGCTGCAATTCAAGGCGTGCGCCACCAATGCCTGGTGAATTTTTTTCATTTTGAAGATGTTCTTGACATTTGTACAAAATTTGGAATTCATCCATAACATATATGCAAATTAGTGTAGCTTTCTAAGCCCTCTGTTGTTTTTTAACTTTTTTTTTTCTTAAGATTTCTTTATTTTGTATATAGTAATCTGCCAGCTTGTATGCCTACCTGCCTGAAGAGGTCACCAGATCTCATTATAGATGGCTGTGAGTCACCATGTGGTTGCTGGGAATTGAACTCAGGACCTCTGGAAGAGCAGCGGGTGCTCTTAACCTCTGAGCCATCTCTCCAGCCCTGGTGTTGTTTTAAACAGCTTGTAAATGAGCAAATTTCCTTATGGCATTTTCATGCATAATTGGCTTGGTTGTTCCTTCTTCCTACCCTCTTCTGGGCTTTGTTATCTGTGAGACGGGATCTTAGTCATTGGCCCAGACTAACCTTAGACTCCTGGGTTAGGATCCTTTTCCCTAAGTCCCTTTAAAGCCTGGATGAGGGCAGCAGCAAACCCTGTGACTTATAAAAGCCTTCAGGAACTGCATACATTTGGTAGCATTTACTCAGTGCTTCCTGTGTGCCAGTTATCTATGCTTCAGCCTCTAAGCTCAAAGAGGACCTCATTCTAGTCTTACCTCCCAGTTTGTCACTTTGTCAGCCAGGATAAACTTGACTCCGTTCTGAGCCCTGGGGTTAAAGGTGTGCACCACCATACCTGCTTCCAGCGTGGTACCTGCAGCTTTGTCCAAGTTGGTTAGGTCTTCTGGATTACTCAGCATCCATTCTTACCTAGTAGTGTCTGGAACACAGTAGGCTTTAATCAGTGATATGACCATTGTTATTCGTAAGATTGCTTTGTTCAAATCTTTCACTTAGCTAACATTAAACACTTCTGGGGATATAGGAGGCCTCAAAATAAAGGAAATTCCTGTTTGTATGGTTATTGCATACTATCCATTAATGTACAGAATGTAAGATATATTACTAGTGTGATTTATTTTATTTTCCCTTATTTTTATTTTATGTATGTGAGTATATTGCCTGCATGTATATCTTTCATTACATTTATTCTTGGTGCACTTGATGAGTGGAGGCAGAAAGATTGAGAATTTAAAGTCGTCTTTGGCGACATAGTAAATTTAAAACCAGTGTTGGCTACATGAGATCCTATGTAAACTAGAGCAGCAAGAAGTTAAGGCAGGAACTATAGCTCAGTGTTAAAAAGCTTTCCTATTATATATAAAGCCTTAGGGCCCATCCTCAGCACATCATCATCACCACTAGCCATTTAAGAACTCTGTGGCATTTCTCAGGCTGGATTGAAGAAGACACAGCATTTAAGAGAGCTCACTGTTCTTGTAGTTCAGTTCCCAACATTCATATCAGATAGCTCACAATTGCCTGTAACTCTAGCTCCAGGGACTCTAGCCCCTGTCTGACCTCCTTGGGCATGTATGTATACAAGCACATATACATGTATACATAAATAATAGCAAATCACTTGGTCTTTTGACTAGGAGCAAGCAGTTTAGCAAAAATAGTTAAAATGTGGCATTTCACAGACTGTAGCTGTCAGTACCTTAGGAACAAATAACTCGTGGGGGAGTTGTTGAAAGCAGGGTTTGGGCTTTATGGTATCCTGAGCGCTTTACATAGTGTCTCTAGTGCCTCTTTCGTGGGTTGCTGTTTGTACTAAATGGTGGTACCTTATTAAAAGGTCCTGTCATAACTTATGTCCCCTTCTCAGTGATGGAAACCACAAGGATTTTGTTCATGTAGAATTCATCTTTACTTTCAGAATCGTCTGAAAGAAATTGAACACAACCTCTCTAAAATAATGAGACTTGACAATGAAATTAAAGCCTTGGATAGTCGAAAGAAACAAATGGAGAAAGATAACAGTGAATTAGAACAGAAAATGGAAAAGGTTTGTGGTCATAAAAGTCTTGTTCTGTTTGAAAATTGAGGGGTTATCATAATGAATTGTGTTTAAACCCTTTGTCTCCACATTTTGGGGGAAAAGTGAACCTGAATCTTGATGTTTGTGATATCTCTATTAAAATGAACATTGAATAAAATTTTATTTATATTTGATGTGTCAGGGTGGTTGTCATAATACATTAAAGCCATCTATTTTGGTTTGGCACAGGTTTTTCAAGGGACTGATGAGCAACTGAATGACTTGTACCACAATCACCAGAGAACAGTGAGGGAGAAAGAAAGGCGTTTGGTAGACTGTCAGCGTGAACTGGAGAAGTTGAATAAAGAAGCGCGACTCCTCAACCAAGAAAAAGCAGAACTGCTGGTGGAGCAGGGTAAGGCGCAGGCCTTCCTGGGGCTCCTCCCTTCTAGAACATACGCTTTCTGCAGTAATAGAGAATCTCCACAGAATTATCACGGAGAAAATTCAGTCTCAAAAGAGTGTATAGTGTGCTTTTATTTCTATAGTATTCTGCAATGTCAAAATTGAGGATGTAGGACGTAATAGCCAAAGCACGTGGTTACTAGGGTTAGAAGGTTTTTTTTTTTCCCCGAGACTGGGTTTTTCTGTATTGTTTTGGAGGTTGTCCTGGAAGTCGCTAGGTAGATACCAGGTTGGTCTCGAACTCAAGGAGATCCGCCTGCCTCTGCCTCCCAAGTGTTGGGATTAAAGGCGTGTGCCACCAACGTCCAGCTGGGATAGAAGGTTCTTAAGGTGTTGAAAACTATTTAGTATCTGCACGGCTGTTTGGATATATAAACTTACATGGGATAAAATTTTATATAGAATTTGGGCTTGGAGAGATGGCTCAGTGGTTAAGAGCACTTGCTGCTCTTCCAGAGAACTTGAGTTTGGTTCCCACATTGGGTGGCTTATAGTCACCTATAAGTCTAGTTCCAAAGATCTCATGTTGTCTCGTCTCCATGGGCACTCACACATGTGGCATGGACACACATAGACATATAAACAAAAATTTTAAATCTTTAAAAACAATTTATGTGAAACCTAATGCATATATACAAATGAGTACAAATAACACTGGGGTCTACAGAGCGAGTTCCAAGTTCCAGGACAGCCTCCAAAACATTACAGAGAAACCCTGTCTCGAAAAAAAAAAAAAAAAAAAAAACACTGGGGAATTTGGATAGACTTGATGGGGTCTACAATGTCAGTATACCAGTTTACAGTTTCCATTAGAGCAATGTGGGCAGACTGTATAAAACTGTTATTTTTTTTTACAACTGCACATGAATCTACTGTTACCACAACTTTAAAGATTTTTTTTTTAAATAAAGGTCGTCTACAACTACAGGCAGATCGCCATCAAGAGCATATCCGAGCCAGAGATTCATTAATTCAGTCTTTGGCAGCACATCTGGAATTGGATGGTTTTGAGCGTGGACCATTTAATGAAAGACAAATTAAAAATTTTCACGAACTTGTGAGAGAGAGACAGGAAAGAGACGCTAAAACTGCCAGTCAGCTCTTGGTAAATATCTTGAAATTCAGGTTCATTAGATGATTTGATAAATTATTTTGTTGTTTGTTTGTTGTTTTTGGAGACAGGGTTTCTCTTGTGTAGTCCTAGCTATCCTGGAACTCAATGTATAGATCAAACTGGCCTCGAACTCAACAGAGATCTTCCTGCCTTTGCCTCCCAAATGCTGGGATTAAAGGCATGCGCCAACACACCCTTTGTGGTTCAATAAACTTTTTAAGTGAATCTAACTTTATCACATTTTTAGGTGAGTGACTATTAAGTAGAAAAGAAAACATTTAGAAACATTTAATTAATTCATAAGGATAAAAATAGGAGCAATGTGTGGATCTATTTTTTTAAGTAAAATTTATTTTTGAGGATAATTGCAAAAAAGTTGGGTCACAGTTACTGATGGTCACCTAGGCAGTGCTTTTCACAGTTTTAGAAATTATTTCCCTCCTTCTTTATGTTACGCTAAGGGGAAGTTTCCTCAGTTGTTTAATGGGAGACTTACCAATGTGTCTTCTTGGCATTTAGAATGACCTTACAGAGAAGGAAACTCTGAAGCAAAGTCAGATTGATGAGATAAGGGACAAGAAGAGTGGACTGGGAGGAATGATTGAGCTGAAAACAGAGCTCCTCGCTAAGAAGCAGAGTGAGCTGAGGAACGTGAAGAATGAGCTGCAGCGGCTGGAGGGCTCGTCCGACAGGATCCTGGAGCTGGACCAGGAACTCTCAACAGCCGTAAGCTGACCAAGTGTCTTCTTCTGTCGTTCACCTGGGGAATGTGGCACTTCAGTTAATAATGCACAGATGAGCTTATTTAAATGTCTTAGTCCGTCATTAGCTCTTTGGTTCTAGAAACTGGCAGGTTAAAAATAAGGATCACCAAGAAAACTTGTGTTCAGACTTTCAAGTTTAGATTCTCGAAGTCTCCTTGCGTGTGGCACATAGATGTGTGTTCCAAGTACAACAAAGTGAGGTGATTATTACTGGCCCCTCGGTATTTAACCTAAGTTAAAAAGCGAGTATTTTTTCCATTAGTTCCACACTGAGATTTTATGTGATTGACTTGTTACCACTTTTCCTGTGGTAAAGAAACTTTCTTCAAGCGTTTTGAGTTTTCTTCCTTGCTTTTGTCCTCTTTCACATCTCGGTTGCTCTTTAAAGTGAACATCCTAATGCGTGTCAGAGCCTCTGTATCCCACCTCCATGACTTGGGTAAACTGCTGTTATGTACATTTTCATCAGTTTGCAGTTTATCACATTGTTTTCAGGATGAGGAAGTGCCAGTGAAGGAAACACATCACAGAGGTTCTGTGGTTTCTACATGCCAAGCAGTATAGTGAGTGTCATAGGACTTAATAAATTCCTAAATGTTAACTAAGTTACTAATCCTTCTGCATAGATACATTTCTCCTAATTCTTTTTCCTTTTTTTAAGATTTATTTTTAATTATGCATATATATGTCTGTGTGAGTATGTGCAAGGGAGTCCAGGTGCTGAAAGAGACTAAAGGCATTGGACCTATTGCTGCCTAACCTGGGTTCTGGGGATTGAACTTGCATCCTCTAGAAAAGGAATGTGTGCTCTTAACCATTGAGCCATCTCTCCAGCCCCTCCTAATTTTTTTCCTTCTAATTTTCATTTCTCCTTTCTGTTTAACCCTTCTAGTTTATTTACTATCACTACAGTTAGTACAGTAACCTGAATAGAGTTTTCCCAAAGCATCTTTAAGTTTATTTTTTTTTCTCTTTTGGTAATGAGTAAAAAATAGTATTTTGATGCTCCTAGGAATGATTTTTGGTTTTAGTAACAAAACTGAAGGTATATTAATAGAAAGAACAATACATTCTCCAAAAGTAGAAAGAGCTGCTTCGAAGTAGGTGACCCTAAGAGGTGATTTCCATTACACTCTGTCATTATCTTAATTCTTGCACAGAATATATAAATGTGCATTTGTTTCGTTTATTGATTAGGAACGTGAACTAAGCAAGGCTGAGAAAAATAGCAGCATAGAAACCCTAAAAGCAGAGGTAATAAGCCTCCAAAATGAGAAAGTTGACCTGGACAGGAGCTTGCGGAAGCTGGACCAGGAGATGGAGCAGTTAAATCATCACACAACAACCCGCACGCAGATGGAGATGCTGACGAAAGACAAAGTATGATTTTCCTTCTGTGTTTGCTGTACTGGTTGGTATTTAAAATAGCTCATCTTTCATTTGTGGTAGATAGACTGAAGTATTGATTTGGTGTTGGTTAGAGGTTTAGAGTTTGTAAGAACTTAGTATTAAAAGTAGGCTTATAAAAATAGACTTTTGAACTTAAAACTTGTTTTACTAAAAAGTTGTTTTCACTGTTTGTGAGACGAGCTGTAGCCCTATCCTGTTGCCCTTGCTGGCCTCTTACTCTGTGGACTCAAGTGATTCTCCTGCCTCAACCTCCTAACTGGAAATATACGCATATACCATTGCTTATATATATTTTAATAATAGAAAGCCCAGAAATACAAAGAGAAAAATTGTGTTAATTATTGGTAACTTTTAACATTAAGAAGTTTAAACAATTTTTTTTGACGTTAGAATTGTTGCTCTGTCTTAAAAAGTCCATCCTGGGACCTGGGAGATATCTTGAAGGTAAAGACCCTTGCTACCAAGCCTGCCCACCTGAATTTAATCCTGGAACTCACACATTAGAAGGAAAGAGCCGACTCCAAAGTTGTCCTCTGCCCTCCATATGTGTATGCCATGGTCAGAGTGTACACACACAAATTATTTTTTTAAAGGCAATCATCACTCCAAGTCTTTAAAAAGTTTTCTGCTTGAATTTTTATACTTTGCATTTGTCAATCAGGATCCTTAGTCATTCCAGAATTTATTTATTCATTTTAATTCATTTTTTAAATTCTACTTATTATTTAGTGTGTGTTTATGAGCACGCACATGCTTTGTAGCTGCCTATAGTGATGCATATCTTTAGCCCCAGCATTTGGGCAGCAGAGGTAGACAGATCTCTGTGAGTTGCTGGCCAGCCTGGTCTACATAATGGGTTCCAGGCTAGTCAGGACTACTGAGTGAGACTTTGTCTCAAAAAAGTTAAAAAGAAAGAGAGAGAATGTTTGAAGTTGGCTCTCTTCTACCATCATGTGGACTTCAGGAGTGAACTCAGGTTGTCAGGCTTTTGTGGCAAATGCTTTGACCTGCTGAGCCATCGTACCAATCCCCAGAATTTATTTAATAAAATGTGGAGATACAGGCTTGACTTTTTAAAGTTAATTTTTTTGTTTTATATTTTCTTTACAGACTGACAAAGATGAACAAGTCAGAAAAATAAAGTCTAGGCACAGTGATGAACTGACCTCACTGTTGGGGTATTTTCCTAACAAAAAACAGCTGGAAGACTGGCTTCATTCTAAATCCAAAGAAATCAATCAGACCAGGGACAGACTTGCCAAGCTGAAGTGAGTTGCTAAATCATTGCTGCTGATATAAATCTCTTTGTTCCATGCTTTTATTTGTGATTGTTTTCAACATTCATTATCATGAAATATGCCATATTCAGTTGACTTTTTCTTTTTCTAGCGATCTAAATAAAATGGAAGCGGTTGGGGGCTCTTGTCTCTTAAAACTATAAAAGGATTGACACCTGAAAGTTGTGTTTGTCTCTGAACAGTGCATCGCTCAGACCTTCTCAGATGTTTCCTTAAGTGCTTTTTGGGTAAGAGAGGGCAGTATTTCTCATAAGATTTCTAGGGAGATAGTAGATTTGACTTTGACTGTATTAAACTTATAGTGTTTCCTTTTTGGTTTGTTTGAACGGGTCTCACAGTGTAGCTCAGGCTGATCTCCAACTTGAGACCCTCTGGCCTTAGCTTTGAAGTGCCGTAATTATAAGGTATATGTCATGGTGTCTGGCTCAAGTTTGTATCTATTGGAAGGACCTTTTAGGAAATAGAATATTTAAATTCAGGAAATTGCAAGTTGTCGCAGTTAGAAAGGATATCAAAAGTAATTGGCGTAAGCTACATCACCTTGAAAGAATTGTGCAAAGAGGAGCAAGTAAGATGTCTCATGTCATCAATCCTATCCCAGGGACCCACATGGTGGGACAGAACTGATTCTTGCAAGTTGCCCTCTGACTTTACATGCCTGTCTCCCACAATGCAAAAGAAAAAGGAGGGGGTACAGTTAAATACTAGAAACAATCGGAACCAGCAGTAGAAGCAGTGGCTGCTTGGGGAACCAGGATGAGCCAGCAGAGGTGTTGTCTGGGGTGCCCTGGGAACATGTTTCCTCACAGAGAGGTCAGTAGTGTTTGGTACTTCCTGGAGACCGGATAGGATGAAGGCTGCACTTGGCTCTTAGGTGGCCCAGCGTGATAGAAGCATCTTCTATAGTCCTTTTTGTACAGGGTTTGCAGTGACTCACAGTGGACAGTACTAAGTTCCTCTGTTCTGTTGTGTTCTTTCCTGCTTGGTTTTAAAGAATATGCTAAATACAACACATTGAGTTTCAAGACTGGTGTATCATAATTTAGCCAAACTTTCCAACACATGAGCATTGAGATTGGCTAGGATTAAGAGTTGGAGAGATGGCTCAGACGTTAAGAGCCAAGGTCTGCTCTTCCAGAGGTTCTGAGTTCAATTCCCATCACCCACATGTTGTCTCACAACCATGTGTAATGAGGTTCGGTGCCCTCTTCTGTCATGTAGGCATGCATGCCAGAATGCTATATACATAATAAATAATAAGTAAATCTTTTTTTTTAAGAGTTGGAGTACTAATGAGTTGTACTAGTAAATTTTTTTTGATGAGTGAGGGGGAAATGAGTGACCAAGGGTAGGGAGACAACAGCAACAAGTAAGGGCAGTGGAGGTTTTTAGAAGTGAGTTAAGGAGCACTGTGAAGGAGACCCAGTGGAGTAGAAGTGCTTTGCTACCCTTTTCTTTGTCTCCAGTAGAGCCAGCTGGTGTTCCCACTTGCTCAGGCCTATAATCTAGAATCTAAGACAGTGAGCCTCCAAATACAGCCATTCTGCCTGCCCCCATACATTTATCTGGGAGTAAGTCCATGCTCAGGATTAGAAGATGGGTCAGTGTCCTAAGGGGAGAATTCAGCTTGTTCCCCTGACTTCTAAAGAAAGAGTGCGACTGGAGTGTACCTCAGTGGCAGAGCATGCTTGGGTCCTAGATTCTATCTCCAGTTCAGAACTGTAAAGAAAAAAATATATAGGAAAGTTTTTGTTCCTATGTAACTCATAATGATTTGTGGCAGAATTTGTCTTTTATATCTCCTTTCTCAAATGTTTGAAATTTCCAGGGGGCTGGTTAAGAGCACTGCCTGCTCTTGCACTGGACCTGGGTTTAGTACCCAGCACATACGTGGTGTCTCACAGCCACCTGTAACTCCAGTTCCATGGCATCTGACACCCCTTTCTGACTTCTGTAGCATGGTAAATTAAAGAGCCAGAGACAGATATTGTAGTTCAAGCTTCCAACTGAAGATGAGAAAAGCAAAGCAGCCAAGCCAGTTGATCTTACCTCTACCCAGCTGAAATGGCAATTCTGTCTCCACAAATCCTCAGAGGCAAAAGGCTCTGAGTTCTTGTCTCCTCCTCCTCTTCCTCATATTCCTCTGTCCAACCAGCCATACCCTCCTGCCTCCACCTCCCTAGTGCTGAGATTAAAGACGTGTTATCCCAGGTGTTGTGATAAAAGCTGCTTCTTTTAGGACTGGATCAATTTTGTGTAATCAGTGTGGCCTTGAAATAACAGAGATCCATCCATCTACTTCTTAATCCTGAGTCCTGGGATTAAAGGTGTGTGTCTGGCTTCTATGACTAACTAGTATGACTGCTTTGCTATTTTGATTTCCAGTGACTTTTTTTTTTCTTTTGCTTTGTTTTTTTGAGGCAGGGTTTCTCTGTGGTTTTGGAGGCTGTCCTGGAACTAGCTCTTGTAGACCAGGCTGGCCTGGAACTCACAGAGATCTCTCTGCCTCTGCCTCCCAAGTGCTGGGATTAAAGGCATGCACCACCACTGCCTGGCCTCCAGTGGCTTTAATAAATCATAAACAGTATATCACCACAGACTTCATTGGGCACAAGGCATGTACATGATGCACATGCATACATGGAGGTAGAACATTCATATGCATAAACTAAATCTAAAAAATAAAATTATTTTTCAAATACCCTACATTTGTTTTTATTTTAGCAAAGAACTAGCTTCAGCTGAACAGAATAAAAGCCATATAAATAATGAGCTGAAGAAAAAGGAAGAACAGTTGTCCAGTTATGAAGATAAGCTGTTTGATGTTTGTGGTAGCCAGGATTTTGAAAGTGATTTAGGTAGACTTAAAGAAGAAATTGAAAAGTCCTCAAAACAGCGAGGTAAGTCACAGTTTATATTATCAAGACACTCTGCCTTTTGGAATTTCATTCACAGGTAACTGCTGAGGATCAGAGGTTTTAAGACTTATTTTTTAAATTATTTCTAGTTGTGTGTATGTGCATGAGTCGGGTATTCACCAAGGCCAGATCTTCCCAGGAGGTAGAGTTGTAAGTGATTATGAGCAGTCCAGGGTAGGTGCTAAGGACTAACTGGTCTTCTGCCAGAGCAGCAAGTGCTCTTAACTGCTGAGCTACCCCTATAGCCCTAGGATAGGAGATTTTATTTTATTTTACTTTTTGGTTCTTTGAAACGGTTTCCATGTGTAGCCATGACTGTTTTAGAACTCACTCTGTAGACCAGGATGGTCTCAAACTTGCAGAGATCCTCCTGCCTCTGCCCCTCTGCCCCTCTGCCCCTCCCGCCTCTCCGTCTCTGCCTCCTGAATGCTGGGACTAAAGGCATGGTCCACTACTGCCATTGCCTGGCAAGGAGAGAAGATTTTAAAATCTTGCTATGGATCCTCACTTGAACTCATTCCTGACTGTACAGCTCACTGTGAGTTGTAACTTTTGGACTTGTTGAACCCTTCCTGTGTTTCAGATTTATCATCTATAAAATAAAAATAAAGCTATGTAGAATTTTAAAAAGAAGTAAATGAAATTGTGTGTGTAAGAAATGCCTGGCACATAGAAAGATCTCAGTAAAATGTTAGCTTTTTGTGTGATACCAAAAAATTGCAAGAATAGTGATTATATGAGAAAATACATGCATGTCTGACTAAAGAGTTCTTTATTTTTTAAATAGCCATGCTGGCTGGAGCCACAGCCGTTTACTCCCAGTTCATTACTCAGCTGACAGATGAAAACCAGTCCTGCTGCCCAGTCTGTCAGAGAGTATTTCAGACAGAGGCTGAATTACAAGAAGTCATCAGTGATTTGCAGTCCAAGCTGAGGCTTGCTCCAGATAAGCTCAAGTCAACAGAATCAGAACTGAAAAAAAAAGAACGTCGCCGTGATGAGATGCTTGGGCTTGTGCCCATGAGGTAAGCCTAAAGTAGCATGGAGTGGTGTTGCCTTTACTAGGTGTGTTTCCTGAGACTTGGCTTGAGGCATAAGTTGTAACAGGTTTTAAACTGGTTATCAATGGCATTTTCCAAACCCCACAAACAAAATATGAAAGGTTCTTTAAAATATTTTTTTAAGTGTATGTGGGTGTTTGGCCTGCATGTGTACCTGTACACCACATGTGTGCCTGGTGCCCAAACAGAAGCCAGAAGAGGGTATTATTAGATCCCCTTGGTCTGTGGTTACATATGGTGGTTGTCAGCTGCTCTATGAGGGCTGGGAACTAAATCCTGGTCTTCTGGAAGAGCAGCCAATGCTCTTACTTCTGAACCATCTCGTCTTCTGGAAGAACAGCCAATGCTCTTACTTCTGAACCATCTCTCTACCCCTCTCCCCCCAAAAACCCAACTTTTAAAATTACATTTTAATTATTTGGTGTGGGTGTGGGCATGCCATGTCATTCATGTGGTGGTCAGAGAACAACTTTGGGAAGTCTGTTCAGACTTCCACCATGTGGATCCTGGGGGCAAACTTAGACTTCTAGGCTTGGTGGCTAGTACTTTATTCACTAAGCAATCTCGTCAGACTCAAAAGACAACTTTAAAGTATGTTTTATGTTGTTCCCACTTTTGAAGAAGCACAGATTATTTCTGTTGTTAGTGTCTCTTTCATATATATAAGAAATTTAGATAATCTGTTAATAAGTGCAATCACATGAGGAAATACATGATTCCTATTCTAGGGTCTCCCAGAACATAGAGTTCAAGACCAGTAAGATACGTACACAGGAGCTGGTGGTCTAACCAAGGAGACAAGCTCTCAGAATTAGACAGAAGGCTAGGCTTAATGGAAGCACTTGAAAATGGTGCAGACAGATATATTAGTTAAGAAGAAAGGAACCCAGGGGTATCAGAATGAGAAGTATTTTGAGAATGGCAGGAAAGGGGGTGTAAAACCTCAGGAAGTTTGTGTGATTTAGTTATAAGGGCAACAGGGGAGTTAGAACATGTACAAAATGGAGAGGTGTTTACCCTAGACTGCCATCCAAAAAGTTATCTCAGGTTTGAGGCATGACTTTTTATGCCTGGCTACCATAAGTTGGGAAAGTAGGGCTATATTATGTTCACACCTAGTATAACTCCTACTAGGTGATAAAGAACCATCCTAAAGTCTTGATTATGTTTTAGGAAACTTAACCTCTTATTAATATGTTGAATAGATCAGAAAATCTCTGGAAGCAGAGAAACCAAAATATGTTGCCCAGGATAACTGCAGAAAAGTTTCAGGAAAAGGAGGAAGTAAGTAGACTGCTTTATGGCAGCCTGCTTCTAAGGTGGGCCCATAGTCTCTATGCTTGTGTGTCGTTGCTTCATACTGTGGCAGGATTGGTCTGTGTGAACTGAAGTAGACCAGAAGTAGCTTTACCTGGTAATACATGCCTGTGATCACAGCACTGCAGGAGTGGAAGCAACAAAATTCAAGCTCATCATCTTCTGCAAGGTCATTGCTAAATTGGGCTACAAGGGACTTGTCACAATCAACCAACCAACCAATCAATCAATCAATCAAAGACAGAAGTTATAGTTTGTCCAAGATTCTGTGACCTAAGGAACTGTGGCTGTCAACCATTTTAGTCTGCCATGTTCAAGTAGCTCTAGAGAAGTCTGCATGATGGGGCCTGGAGGTCTTCCTACTAAATAGTGAGTTTGGAAACAGAATTTATAGCAGTTGAGATGACTGTAATTTTGGCCAAATAGCTGGACTCCACCTCCCTGAGAGACTGTCAGAAGCATACGGCCTGACCCTCATATCTGTGAGCAATAACTGGTACTCTTTTTTTTTTTAAGCTGCTTGGTTTGGGGGTATTTTGTTATGCAACAATAGATAACTACTCTATGCATCTAGAGAGAAAGCCAGACTGTTAGAGCCACAGAGAAGGTGATAAGAACATACATACCGCAGTAGCTTGAGATTGGAAAGGAGGAATAAGGTAATATCTAGGAAAAAAGACGAAATAAAAGATAAAAGTTAAGGCTGATAGAAAGTGCACACAGAGAAAACATGAAGTTGTTCTATCATACTGAAATATGTCAAATGGCACCAGGTAGCGTGGTATTATATTTCGGGGCTCCTGTCATGACTCCCTTTCACAGAGTGAGTAGCATTTCTTAATCATTTCCATGTCTTGTGACTTACTTTGCTGCATGAAGACTGCTGTGTAACTAAGTAACAGTGAGGACTTACTCTCATTCCTCATGGTTCTATAGGGTGACTGTCATCTGGGTCTTGCAGGAAGCAGCAGTTGTCCTAAGGTTTTTTGGGGGCTGGACATTTAGGATGGCTGTTACTGACTGCTAGCAGGGAGCCCGACTGAGGGATGTCATACAGCATGCTTTCACATGGCCTCTGCATGTGTCCTGGGCTTTGGTCAACAGAGTGGCTGGGTTACCCAAGTACAATTATTACAAGAGACAGGAAGCTGATGCTTTGTAAAGTTTCTCATTTTTAAAGATTTGTGTTTTAATTATTTTTAATTTAATATACATTTTGAGGGGGCACATGCATACACCCAATAGAGGCTGTAGGCATTGAATACCCTGGGAGCTGGAGTTACAGATACTTGTGAGCCACCTGATGTGAGTACTGGGAACCTGAACTCAGGTCCTCAGCAGCAACATACTCTTTTATTTTTTTCTTTCGTTTTTTCGAGACAGGGTTTCTCTGTATTGTTTTGGAGGCTGTCCTGGAACTCACTCTGTAGACCAGGCTGGCCTCAAACTCACAGAGATCCACCTGCCTCTGCCTCCCGAGTGCTGGGATTAAAAGTGTGCGCCACCAACGCCCGGCAGCAACATACTCTTAACTGCTGGACCATCTCTTCAGCCCCAGCTGAATCTCCTTGGTCTTAGACACAAAACTGTCACAGTGGTACTTCTGTCATTTTCTGTTGGTGATAGTCACAGCCTGCCAGTATTCAGAAAAGACTACTCAGATCTCTGAGGAGGCAGAGTCAAAACATCAAAGGTTTTTTTTGTTGTTTTGTTTTGTCTTTTTTTTTTTTTTTTTTTTTTGAGACAACATCTCACTATATAGTCCTAGCTGTCCTGGGACTTACAGAGATCTGCCTGCCTCTACTTCCTGAACACTAGGATTAAAGGCCTGTACCGCCACATCTGACTAAGGCTGGCCTTAATGTATATAATTAATGACCACAGTTCTGAAGTGGTACCAGTGTGCTAGTATTGGTACCATACATTCTATTACTTAAAATAGTGGCTGAAGCCAGGAAAGGTCCCTAGGAGGCACTGAAAGTGGGCCATGTTGCTGATCAGGCTGCTAAGTAAGGACACGTGTGAGAGGAGACTATGTCTACTAAAAGCAACAAAACTCAAAATTCTGAAGACGGGTTCTGAGCTCCAGATGACTTTCCAAGAGTTGGCAGAGCACTGTCTTGGAGAAGTGGGGAAGGAAGGATAAGTTAAAGACACGTGAGGGGAAGTCCTCTCCCAGAAGAGGAGGAAGTATTCTGTAACACATTAATTTCACATAAATTAACAAATAAAAGGTCTAATAACCTAGGAGGACTATTTTTAAATGTGGAAAAACTATGCCTTAGAAATGCTACTTAGCACACCTGGGCAATATTTTCCTTTGTCATCAAAAACAGGTATGGAGACAGTCAAGTTCAAGCAGTGATAGTAGAGAAGATGATGTATTTGTACCTTGAGCCTATGTAGCATTTGGCTGTTTCTGGCTTCTTCCCCTCCTTTCTGTATTTTAAAATATTTTAAATTTTGAAATGATTTTTTGCTTAGAAAAAAGTTAGAAAACTAGTACAGAGACTTCACATACACTCTTGTGCTGATAGCAGCAGTTTATGTGACCAGGAGAATAACGCAGGCGCGGTGCTACTGACTGACTCCCATCCACACTGTTGTCTCGTCAGTCTTCTCATCCTGTTTTCAGGTTCCCACACTGCAGCTAACACTTTCTCCATGGGCTCCTGAAGTCTGTGTGCATCAACCTTTTTGTCTTTTTCATGGCCTTGAAACTTTTAATGAATACAGTCAGTCACTTTGTAAAGTATCTGTTTGACAACACCCCCATAATAATATTGTAAACAGTTGTCAATGGCTACTAGCATCATTAGGCAGATGTTTGAAAAACAGGATATCCATGTATTCTCAATGTATCCTTCTTAAGAGATATTTTTAAAACACAAGAAAAAAGTAGGCATTTTACAGTGGAGAAACATGGCTAACATCACTGTAACCAAGTGAATTAAGTGGACATCACAAATATTGAGTCATGTTGACATTGAGCTACTGACCTGGAAAGGACTAGCAGTTCTTTAGACTTGTTCTCGCTGAAACTACATAATAACTTCACTTTAATGAGGAAATGTCAGATTGATTTTCATTGTGTTTTTTTCTTAAGGCAAAGCATAATTGATTTGAAGGAGAAGGAAATACCAGAATTAAGAAACAAGCTGCAGAGTGTCAATAGAGACATACAACGCCTAAAGACTGACATAGAAGAACAGGAAACACTCTTGGGTACAATAATGCCTGAAGAAGAAAGTGCTAAAGTATGCCTGACAGATGTTACAATTATGGAGAGGTTCCAGGTAAGTTTACTGCAGTTTAACGTAGAATAAAACTGATCTGTGGAGTTTGAATGTGAAATGTGGGTGTGTTAAAAACAAAACAAAAAACAAAAACAAAAACAAAAAAAAAAACAGTAGCTGGAGCCAGGCAGTGGTGGCACATACTTTTAATCTTAGCACTTAAGAGGTAGAGGCAGGCAGATCTCTGTGAGGTCGAGGCCGTTGTGGTCTACAAAGTGAGTTCCAGGACAGCCAGGAGGGCTACACAGAGAAACTCTTGTCTTGAAAAACAAAAACAAAACACCCAAAACAAACTAGTAGTTAGACATGATGGCTCACACCTTTAATCCCATCACTTGGGAGGCAGAGACAGGTGAGTCTTTGTTAAGATCAGGACCAGCCAGCAGACACACACACACACTCTCTCTCTCTCTCTCTCTCTCTCTCTCTCTCTCTCTCTCTCTCTCTCTCTCTCTCTCTCTCTCTCTCTCTCTCTCTCTCTCTCTCTCTCTCAGACACACATACACAGAGTAACTAATTTTCAGGTGCAAACAACTGATTTATATACATTCCTAGGCTTATAAAATATGGAAATTGAGGCATAATTCATTTAGCTTAATTTCATGTTTTATCCTATTAAACATGGCCTTAAATGAGTTTGAATCATGATAATGCAGTAAGTCTCTTAGAAGTAACTGTTCTCTTCTAAAGATGGAGCTGAAAGATGTTGAAAGGAAAATTGCACAGCAGGCAGCAAAGCTGCAGGGGGTAGACTTGGATCGAACTGTCCAGCAGGTTAACCAGGAAAAACAAGAAAAGCAACACAAACTGGATACAGGTACTGTTTCTGTTTGCTCACACTCCACAAAAACTTCAGTGCTGCTCCACGTGCCTTTTGTACCTACTCTGTGGAAGAACCCACAGTACATTCATTCTCTTCTGTCCTTCCAAGTGTCATTTCTGTTTCTTTGCCTTGTACAACAGACTTGGAATGGTAGAGGGTCAGATGAGCTGTGCTCTTTCGCAGCTGTACCTGCCTGTGACTGGGTGGGTATAGCAAGCAGGTCGCCCTTGTGGCATGCAATGGAGCCCACTGAAATTCACTACAAAGGATGACAGCAGTGTTTTCTGTCCCCATCCATTAGCCACTGTATCCCTATGTTTCTGTTCAGTTTCTAGTAAGATTGAATTGAACCGTAAGCTTATACAGGACCAACAGGAGCAAATTCAACACCTGAAAAGTAAAACAAATGAGCTGAAATCAGAGAAACTGCAGATATCCACGAATTTGCAACGTCGTCAGCAAATGGAGGAGCAGTCTGTGGAATTATCTACTGAAGTTCAGTCTTTATACAGAGAGATAAAGGTAGACATATGCATACATGTTGTTTTGTAAGTTATTCCAGACACAAAATTCTCTTTGTTGGTGTTAAGAAACATGACTACAGTTATAGTGAGACTCAAGTGAAAGTGTTGTGATGAGTCTTCATGTGATTTTAAGTGACAGAGTGAGTATTAATAAGTAACGATTTGGGAAGAAAGATTTAGGTCATGTAAAGAAGAACCAAGCGTCTTGTTAGGTAGTGAATTTCATATTATTAGAAGCCGGAAGATGGTGGCTAGATAACTACATAGGAACATTTGTCCTCAAGTGTATCTATGTCAGACACCCATGTGTTAGCACTGCTTCCATTCAGTCCCACATGTGATATCAGTCTGCCAGTACAGTGAGCGGGCACGGGGTACCACAGGCACTGAGCTGCACTGCTGGCTTTATCTCAGTGAATCAAAGCAAAGGTCCTAATCCAGGTTTTCATAGTTACCATCACTCCTTCAGTAAGCACTACACAGGTTAACCAGTCTATTTAGCAGTAATTGCTAAAAATGTTCCTTTATTAAATAATTTGCACTTATAATATAAAATAGTATTGCCTCGCACTAGTCTAGGTTACACTCTTGACTATTCCATTTATGTTTGTGACCTTGAACAAGTTGTTTGGATTCAGGCATCTGTACTGGCCTGTCCTTAGGGGTTCTGATAAGATATGCCCTTAGCTACAGCCACTAAGAGCACCACCTGTGCCTATTCACTATGTTTCATTATAAAAGGGCCCTGCTACCTCCTATCATTTCTTTCTCTCCCTCTCTCTGTCTGTCTGTGCCCCCACTTCCTGCTGCTCCTGTCCCTGGAGATTGGTCTTCCCCCTTCCCCCTTCCTTTTTTGTGATCCTTTTCCACTAATAAAAAACCCCATCTGTTTGAACCCTGTAGCATGGAGTCTTTCTCTCCAGCACTGCTTTTGTTAAATTACAACATAGGTTATTGTAGTTTGCTTCTCTGAAATCTGTGGATAAAAATAATGATGCCATCTTCATGGGCCCTGTCAAGAGATGTAAATAAGTTAACATAAAAGCCTGACAACTGGGACATTTTTTATTAAGGCTATGAAGCCTGGCATCTGAAATAAGGTAATTGAGTGTTATATAACTGACCTGGCTTTGTGTGTGTGTTCAGGATGCTAAAGAGCAAATAAATCCTTTGGAGATAGCACTGGAAAAGTTCCAACAGGAAAAAGAAGAATTAATCCACAGAAAACAAACAAGCAACAAAATGGCTCAAGATAAAGTAAGTTCTTATTTATATATTTTGCTTACCCAATGCCTGTGTTAAACATTTATAGCACTATTATTTTACATAAATAACTTAATAAGATAAGCAGTGTTTTCAGGTTTGTGATACTATTTTTGTTTTTGCAGTGCTGGACATTAAACTCAGGGACTTGTGAATGCTAGAGTAGCATTATCATCAAGCTACATCCCTAGGCCTCATGACAATGCATGTATGTGTGTGTGTGGGTTCGTATTCAGGTATGCATGCCCATGCATGTGTACACAGACCACAGCTGGAAGTCTTCCTCTGTCACTTTCTAGCTTGTCTCATTGAGGCAGAGTCTCTCACTGAACCCAGTCTCACTGGAGCTGCCTGGTGAGCTTCCAGGATCTGCTGTCCTCGGCCAGTGCTGAGGTTATAGGCACACACAGCCCATGCCCAGTTGTTTGAAGTCAGGTCCTCAGGCTAGCATAGCAAGTACTCTTACTCACTGAGACATGTTATAATTTTGACTTTGAAAAGTTCTTGAGTAAAGAATAAATACTTTTGTTTCTTAGGCCAGGAGGTGGTGGTGCATACCTTTAATCCCAGCATTGGGGAGGCAAAGGCAGGCAGACCTCTGTGAGTTCAAGGCCAGCCTGGTCTACAGAGCTAGTTCCAGGACAGCTCAGGCTATTACACAGAGAAACCCTGTCTGGAAAAACAAAAAAAAATTTTTTTTTGCTTCTTGATCTAAAACAGAAGAATTGAGACTAGGTACTTTAAATGAATAAATAAAATTGAAACTGATTCATTCCCATTGATAAGAGATTATCTGACCTAAAATTTGATAGTGGTGGAACACTTGGTTTCAAAGTATTTTAAAAGCAAATTTTATTCTTTGAGAATTTTTATATCATGTAATACATTTTGATCATATTTATCTTCCCATTCCTCCCAACTAAAATTCCTCCTAGATCTACCTCTTCCCCATCTCCCTTCAAACTTCATGTCCTCCTTTTCTTTTCATTGTGACCCACCAAGTCCAGTTTGCACCAGTCATGTGCTGATGCATGTGGGGCCATCCACTGGGGTACAGTTGACCTACCATCCTGAAAGAAAACAGACTATCACGCCGGGCGTTGGTGGCGCACACCTTTAATTCCAGCACTCGGGAGGCAGAGGCAGGCAGATCTCTGAGTTCGAGGCCAGGCTGGACCGACAGCCTCCAAAACAGAGAAACCAAAAAAAAAAGAAAAAAAAAAAAAAAGAAAACAGACTATCTCTGGTTTCTGCCTTTTAAACCGGCATTCTCTTATGCTCGCTACTGATGCCCTAGTCTCATCCTGGTGATTTTTTAAATTATTTATTTACTTGTTTGTTTTCTTGAGACAGAGTCTCAGTATGTAGCCCTGGTATAGGATTACAGACATATGCCACTATACCCAGCTCATCTAGTGTAAAGTTTTGTTTTGGTTTTGTGTGTATGTGTGTAAATTTAATAAATGTTTTCCCACAGATCAATGATATCAAAGAGAAGGTTAAAAATATTAATGGTTACATGAAAGACATAGAGAATTATATTCAAGATGGAAAAGATGATTATAAGAAGGTAATTTCTTTTAGATTTTTTTTTAATTTACTAATTTTTGTTTTACATCCTAATCCCAGTTTGCCCTCCTTTTTCTCCTCCTGCTCCCACCTCCCACCTGCTCCTTGAAGAGGGTAAGGCCTCCCCTAGGAAGTCTACTAAGTCTGTCCCATCATCTCATTGAGGCAGGACCAAGCCACCCCCAGCCCCCATGCCTAGGCTGAGCAAGGTATCTCTCCATATAGGATGGGTTCCACAAAGTCAGTTTTTGCATTAGAGTTACATCTTGGACCCACTGCCAGTGGCCCCATTTATTGTCCCAGCTGCACCATTATCACCTATATTCAGGGAGTCTAGTTCAGTCTTATTCAGGTTCCTCATTTGTCAGACTTGAGTTAGTGGTCTCTCACTAGCTCAGCTCAGCTGATTCTGTGGGTTTCCCCATCATGGTCTGGACTCCTTTGTTCATATTATCGATCCTCCCTCACTTCAGTTGTGCTCCAGGAATTTAGCCTAATGGTTAGTTGTAAAAAAGGTAATTTAAAACAAAATTGTTTTATTTTCATAGACTTAATGAATTTTTTTCTTTTTTAGCAAAAGGAAACTGAACTTAATGAAGTTGTTGCTCAACTAAATGAATGTGACAAACACAAAGAAAAAGTAAATAAAGAAATGGGAACCATGAGGCAAGATATTGACACACAGAAGGTAGGTAGGACTTTCTGCTCATGGAATCACAACACTATTTCTGTAGTAAGTTTTATTTGAAGAAAAATTTGATGGAAATGCAGATAGAGAAAAATGACTCATGGGTTTTTTTATTTGTTTGTTTTGTTTTGTTTTGAGACAGGGTTTGTCTGTGTAGCACTGGCTGTTGTAGAACTCACTGTATAGGCCAGACCGACCTCAAACTCACAGAGGTCCTCCTGCCTCTCCCTCCTGAGTGCTGAGGTAAAGGCATGCACCACTACCACCTGACTTCTTATTTTCAACAAAGGGCTTTCATTGGTAAAAGTTTAAACATAAAAGGCCAGACATGGTAGCACATGCCTTTAGTCCCAGCACTCAGAAGGGAGAAGCAGGTGGATCTGAGTGAGTTCCGGGACAGGTTGGGCTACATAGTGATCTCCTGTCTTAAAAAAAATTTTAAAGATAAAGATAAAAGATTAAGTATCCCCCTCCTCCTACTCCCAGTCTCTCCTTCCTAGATGCTGCTACTATTAGGTTCCTTTTTTTTTTAAGATTTATTTATTTATTATGCATACAATGTTCTGGTATGCATGCCAAAAGAGGGCATGAGATCTCATTATAGATGGTTGTGAGCCACCATGTGGTTGCTGGGTATTGAACTCAGGACTTCCAGAAGAGTAGTCAGTGCTCTTAATCTCTGAGCCATCTCTCCAGCCCCTACTATTAGATTCTTGTTTGATCTTGAAGAAGTGTTTTATTTCTGTCTCAGAGGTCTGATGGATAAGTATAGGTTTATATGTGCATATATACTTAAATTTATATATGTATCTTACATTCATATTATTTTATGTCTTTTCAACTAATTATTTTGATCTTACATTTTGACTCACAGGCTTTTTTAAGTTTTAGATAGGTCTCATTATGTAAGTTAGGTATAGGAGTAAGGTCCAATGTATCCTTATAAGTTATCTATAAGGATAGTAAAATGTTCATTTTTGAGTTGTTTGTGTGTCGGTTTTCTCTATGAAGAATATTAATTTCTACAGTATAATTAAAATTAGATTGAGACATTATTTTTGCCGGATGTGGTAGCCCAAGCCTTTAATCCCAGCAGAGACAGTTGGATTTCTAAGCCAGTCTGGTCTGCAGAACAAGGACAGGACAACCAGGGCTACACAGAGAAACCCTGTCTCAAAAAACTAAAAATGAAAGAAAAATGTAAATTGGGATGTTATCTTGAACATGCCTTAGTTAAGCATGGTAGTTAGTGTTTTTAATTACTTTGTTGTATATAATAATTAAAATTTCTTTTAAGTCTTGGGGATATAGTTTATTGGTAAAACACTTACTTACCTTTTGAGGGTTAGCCAAATCAGCTTTCTGCTGGTTATCTGACTGTATCACCAAGAATTTTTATTGTTTGTTTCTTTGACACAAGGTTTTTCAGTCCAGGCTGATCTGTAACCAATTGTATTGCTGAGAACCTTGAACTCCTGACCTCCTTTACCCCCACCCCCTTTACTTCCCTTCACGGCCTACGATTGCAGGCATACACAATCATTCCCAGGCATTTCAAATATGAAATATCAATATGAGGCTTATCTGTCTGACCTAATACATGCATCTGGAATGTCTGCCTGCAAGGTGAGCCTGCCAATTGGCAGGGAGCCTGAATAGGACAGAAAAGGATTTCATCTGTGTCTCTTGAACTAAGTTACACTATTATATATGTATGTGCATGAAAATGTATATGCCTGCCAGGACCAGAAGAGGGTGTTAGATCCAGCTGGAGTTACAAGTGGTTGTGAGCCAATCAGCATGGATGCCAGGAACCAAACGCCATCGTCTGCAAGAGCAGCAAGGCTCTTAACTGCTAGACCATCTTTCCAGCCCTGTGGGACACACTCTTTTTGCTCTTAGACATCAGAATTCCAGACTCTTCAGCTGGAGGTGTAGCTCAACTAATAGGGTGCTTACCTAGCATGCAGGAGGCCTTGGATTCGATCACTAGCACTTCATAAACTGCATGATGTTGCACATTGTAATCCCTGCACTAGAGTGGTAGAAGCAGGAGGAAGAAGGAGTCCAGGACTTAGATTAGTGACCCCTCAGGTTCTCAGGTTCTCCCTGAGCTGTTTATGGCATCCTGGAAATGTTCAGTTTGCAGACCACTATGTAATGAGCTTCATTATTCTACGTAATTGTATGAGTCAACTGTCCTAATGAATTCCCCCATATATCTGTATCCTGTTGACTCTGTCTCTCTGTAAATCACTATTGCAACTGTGTGTATTGCTTTATCAGGTGAGCTCTGTGGCTGGGAACTCCCTGGTTTATGTGTTTAAGTCCAGTCAAGTTTTATCCTAAAGAAGTAATTTGAAATGCACCTTCCTTTTTTCAGTTAAGGAATACATGTGAAGGGAAGTAGAAATGATCTGACTTGCTCAAGAGGCAGTACAGAACAACACTGGTGAAAGTTAAGCATAGTGGCACACACTTTACAGTCACAGAGATGGGCAGTCAGAGACTGACTGGCTGTGCATGGTGGCACACACTTTACAGTCACAGAGATGGGCAGTCAGAGACTGACTGTGCATAGTGCTTACTGGTGAGTTCCATTGTCCCTGAAACAACAGGCCTCAAAAACAAGCACATGAAAAATACTAAAGTAGATTGTGAGGAGTGATGCTCAAGGGTTTCTTGGCTGCCATACATATATGTACACACGTGTGACATACACACAAAAGCCATCAAAGAAACAACTTTAGTATTAGCACTTTTAAGTGTTAAACTGTTTTTTTCCTTTTTTTATCTTATTCTTTATAGTTTGTGAGCTACAATTAGAATTCGAAAGGAAAATTGGACCTTAAAGGTTTTTACAACCAGTTACTGAGCCAAGCACTGTCCTTACTTAGTTAACCTTCACAATAAAACTTTACAGTAGGTGGCATTATCACCATATTCCATGCAAACTAAGACTTAGAGAATTTAAATTGGTTTGCCTAAAATTGCCCAGTTTAAAAATGAGAACATTGTGATTTGAACCTAGGTATGCCTGACTTCAAAGCTGTTGCCTTTTACCTACTGAACTTTCAAACTAAAGTAAGAATAGAAGCTGACCTAAAAGAATACCTATCTTTTTGATGATTGTGCATAGTCAGTGTGATGGCCTTCTATAAAGAGCCCTTTCATGTTGTCATGAAAATCAGTTCAAATGTTAGATCACACCACATGAAAGCAGCCTTTCCACATTCCTAATAAGGAAAAATTTGCCAGCTAGGTTCTCTATGGCAAGGTTTCAGAGAGCACAGCTGTCTTCAGTGTCTTGGGCTGTCTCAGTCATTGAACATTCACAACCATGTCACTTTGGCTACCTTTAGCTGTTTGTAATAGAGTTTGCACAATGATATCTTAACTTTTTCATTTCCTCAGGAGAGTTTCACTATGTAGCTCTGGCTGACCTGAATCTTATGATATAGACCAAACTAGCCTCACAGAAATGTTCTTGCCTCAGCCTCCCAAGTGCTGGGGTTAAAGGCTTGCACCACCACACTCAGATTTATCATGCTTCTTGTTTTTTTGTTTTTAAACTAAAAATAGTGGGTTTGGGCAGCATGGGAGCATGGTTGGATGTGAACCTTTAGCATGTAAGAGAAAGAAAGCCCTGTCTCCTACTACCCAGATACTTCACTGTTGGAAGCAAGTGATTGTCAAAACTGTGTTTCTCCCTCCTTATCCCACAGCACTGAGTTCCAGTGTCCACTTCTAAATTTCTCCTAGCATTTGTCTCTTGAAATTCATTGCAATCACCAGGAAAGCTATCAAGATAGTTGTCATTCTTACCAAGTGACTGAATGCCTTTTTAAGGATAAGACTACTTAACATCAACAGCCCCTCTCTCTCTCTCTCTCTCTCTCTTTTGAGACAGGATTTCTCTGTGTAACTGCTCTGGCTTTCCTTGGACTTGCTCTGTAGAGCTAGCCTCAAACTCATAGAGATTCATCCACCTATCTCTGCCTCCCAAGTGTTGGGATTAAAGGTGTGGGCCACCTGGCAATAGCCAGTTTCTTAATATTGCAGGTCAACAGGCAGAGTAATCTCAAAAGTCACAGCTTTGTGTTCCGTTCCACTCCCTTGCAAGATGATGGGTTTAATGTCCCTCATCCAAAGTGCTTAGCATTAGCAATGCTTTCTATCTTGTAATTCTTTGGGTTTTGTAATAATTACATATTCTCTACCAGTTGAGCATCCCAAGCCCAAAAATCTGAAATGCTGCCAAACATATCGAGGATTTGGGATGTTCTGAGTAGGAACCCTCAACTTGTATTTGCCAGCCTGAAAGCAGAGATTGTATCTGACACGTGCTGTAAAGTATCTAATAGTCTGGGCACACAATAGGAGTTGAATAAGACTAGGGAATAAAGTAGGGAAGGACTTAGGCAGTTTATATTGATCTTTTGATTTGTTAAAAATTTGTTGTTATACTATAAGAACATAAATATTATACATGTTAATGATATCTTACACTCCTCAGATGAGCAGGCTGTGTAGCAGGGTTCCTGGAAAGATGATCTACTAGCTTGTAGGTATGAAATATATCTGGGCTTGGTGTGGTGGTACACACCTTTATCTTAGCAAGCTGAGGCAGGCAGATCTCTGTGAGTTCCAAGGCCTGCACTTCAAAGTGGGATCCTGTCTTAAAAATACATAATAATTAAAAATAATATCTGGTTAACTATTCCATTTTAGATAATTATTGTATATATTTAAAATGACCACATTTAATGACTTTTTACCAAATATTTCAGTATTTTATAAATAAGTGAGTACACAAGAATACATGTTGTACTCATTTATTAAGAGGTTACCCCCTGCCAAGCAGAGCTCTTACATCATGGTCATGAAAGGGCAGTGCAAGCTGCTCTTTCCTTCCTGCCCTCCTGTCCCACTGGCTGAGTCTCCTCTGGTCAGTTTAACATGACTGTGAAGAAGCAGTGTTATCACTGCCTGTCTGCATGTGCCAGTTAGGGAGCTCATATTAGTAGCTTGTTTATTTTTGTTAACTGATACAATTTTCATCTAGATCCAGGAAAGGTGGCTACAGGATAACCTTACACTAAGAAAAAGAAGAGAGGAGCTAAAAGAAGTTGAAGAAGAAAGAAAACAACATTTGAAGGAGATGGGACAAATGCAAGTTTTACAAATGAAAAAGTATGTTTAGTAAATCGTGTTTATTTTTATTTTTGAGGTTTCCTTAAACAGCCCAGGCTGACCCCAAACTCACGGTGCTCTTGCCTCTACCAGTTGAGGACTGAAATTGCATGCATGATCGCCACACTCAACAGGAAATAGTGTTTCATTTCAGTGAAAGTCTTTACTATTATAAAGAAGTCAGGAACTGGAGAGATGACTCGGTAGTTAAGAATACTGGCTGCTCTTCAGGGGACTCAGGTTGGCCAGTTTTCTACAATGGAGTGTACCCCCAGATCCTTTCCACTCAACATTATGTTCTTCCTCTTTCAAAAAAATACTTTTAAAGCCCTCACACATAGTACAAGAAAATAAAAATAAAAGACCAGTAAGCCAAAACCAAAATGAAACAAAAAACCAAAACAAAACAAAAAAACAAAAACATGGGGCTGGAGAGATGGCTCAGCTGTTAAGAGCACAGGTTGTTCTTCCAAAGGACCCAGGTTCAATTCCCAGCACCCACATGACAGCTTACAACTGTCTACAACTCCAGTTCCAGGAGATGTGATGCCTTCACACCAATGCGCATAAAGTTAAGTAAATTACTAAAAAACAAAAAACACTGGACCGTAGTGGCACACGCCTTTAATCCCAGCACTCTGGAGGTAGAGGCAAGCCTATCTCTGTGAGTTTGAGGCCAGCCTGGTCTTCAAAGCTACACAGAAACCCTGTCTCGAAAAACCAAACCAAAACAAAACAAAACAAAAAACACAGAGGCTGGGTGTAGTGGCACATATCTGTAATCCCAGCACTTGAGAAGCAAAGGCAGGCAGATCTCTGTGAATTCAAGGCCAGCCTGGTCTACATAAAGAGACCCGATCTCAAAATAGCAACAAGAAATCATGAAGCTTGTTTTGCATTAACCAACTACTCCTGTGCATGGGGCCTGCCCTGGAATGTGATTGATATCCCCAGGGACACTCCACTGTAGAAAACTGATTCTCCCTCTGCCATCAGGTATCTATTGCAAATAGCTTCTTGATTAAGAGTGGACCCTGGTGTCCATTTCCTTTTCTCAGGGCTGGGACCTCATCTCAACTCAGATTTTCTTACTAATTTATTTCATGAGTATTTTGCCCACATGTATGTATGTGCACCCCTTTCATACAGTGCTTGTAGAGGTGAGTAGATGGTGTTGGATCCCCTGGAACTAGCATTAGGTGATTGTGAGTCACCATATGGGGTGCCAGGAGTTGAACCAGGATCCTCTGGAAGAGCAGCCAGTACTCTGAATTGCTGAGCCATCTCTCCAGCCCAAGCTAGATTATTTTTTTTAAACAATTACTTTTGTGATTAAAACTTAGCAATTTTTAAAGACAGTGTCTCACTGGGTAGCCCTGACTATCCTGGAACTCACATGTAGACCTAGCTGGCCTTGAATTTAGAGGTTCAGCTACCTTTGCCTGCCAAGTGCTGGGATACGCCAATATACCTGGCTGAACATGCTTCAGACTGCATAGTAAATCTCTTCCTTAACAAACCTTCCACTACTAGGAAATGGCAGAAGTATCAACTAAATATAATTAGGACAATTATATAATAATGTCCATAAACTTGTGAGCAATTTCTAGAACATAACATGTACTTAATAATAAATAAGTTTATAAGTAAATGAAAAAAGAATTTTTTGTTTTGTTTGTTTTTGAGACAGTATTTCTCTGTATAGCTTTGGAGCCTGTCCTGGAACTCTCTCTGTAGACCAGGCTGGCCTTAAACTCACAGAGATCGGCCTGTTTGTCTTCCAAGTGCTGATATTAAAGGCATGTGCCACCACCACCCAGTATAAATGAAAAAAACTGAAGGCATATATTGAAGTCTGTATAACTTACCAGGATACCAGAGAATTTTGAGTACTTCTTTTTGGTCAGAATTGTGGTTTTTATACTTTTGCAATAATAACAAAATTGTTAATGAATTTTACTTTAGAAAATGACTAGTTTATAGCAGATAAAATTATACTGTGACTTTGACACTTGTAAATAAAACTGATTGAAACCTGTTATCCAATAACTTCTCATTGTTGGCAGTTGGTAGTTGTTGCATTCTTAGTTCTAAAGCAGAAGTATATTACTTTGTTGCTTGAATCCCCGGCAGTGCCTTACATTGTCAGTATCTAAAAGCCAGGGGCTTTCATGATGCTCACATGTTGCAAGGGTTCTTTCTTTAGTACACAAAAATTTAGCTGCTTCAGAAACATGAATACTGCAGAGGTTTGGAAGGAAGAGCACTAGCTCAAAAGCCTTAGAAAGGAGGGATGACACCTGTTTTAGGTTGCCAGAAGCCTCACAGTGGTCCTCACCAATCATTTACCCTTTTCTAGCGAACATCAGAAGTTGGAAGAGAACATAGACACTATAAAAAGAAATCACAGTTTGGCATTGGGGCGACAGAAGGGCTATGAAGAAGAAATTCTTCACTTTAAGAAGGAACTCCGAGAACCTCAGTTTCGGGATGCCGAAGAGAAGTATAGAGAAATGATGATCGTCATGAGAACCACAGAGCTGGTGAACAAGGACCTGGACATCTACTACAAGACTCTTGACCAGTAAGTACCTCTGTTTGTAGTCACTGCAGTGATAGCACCTAGCATACTGTGGCCTTTTTTCCCTGTTTTTGTCTTTTCAGTATATGACATTTTATATATATCATGTGTGCTTACATGATATAGCATACTACCCTAACCAGTCCAAAAACTCCATTGTTAACCCCTAGCTGGTATCCACTTAGATGTTTTCTCATCTTAGCCTCCAGCCATCTCCACTCCCTATCTTAGGAACAAAGATGTTTGCTTTCTGTGGTCTTAAAAACTGTGTTTAACACATGTGTGCTGTGTTCGGGCCTTTAAAGTATCATCACCTTTCAGGTACTCTTCTGTTGGGGATGGCTGTCGATCACTGCTGTGTCCTATCTCCTGGGCTTATACCTTGCGGTCTGCTAACACAAACCTTGCCATAGGACACTTGTACAACATCTTCTGAAAAAGAGATGGACTAAAGCTGTACATGTGGCAGTGGGTTGTGGGATATGCTTGATTTTTATAGAATGCTGGATTTATTTTTTAATGGCTTTACTAGCCCAGTATGGTAGTGCCTATAATCCCTGTAGATAAGAGGCTGAAGCAAGTGAGTTTAATATAATGGGTTTAAAATGAAAAACAGTTGTGACCTTTGTGTGCAGTCCTCTGACTCATTTTTATTATTATTTTCTTAAATAAAGCCAAGACTTTAATCCCAGCACTTAAGATGCTGAGGCAGGTGGATCGATGAATTTGAGGCCAGCCTGGTCTACAAAGTGAGTTTCAAGATGGCCAGGCCAGGGCTACACAGAGAAACCCTGTCTTAACCCCTTCCTACCCCAAAAGAGAGTATTTTTAAATTATTGATTTTTTTTTTGTTTTTTCAAGACAGGGTTCTCAATCATAAGTATTAGTGGGGTCAATATGATATTTTCACATATACATATGGTATTCACAGATTAGATCTCAGCATCCCCCTCTCCTCTGCTTATGAGTGTTCTATTTTCAGGATTTGGTGGGGAGAGTATATTCCCTGTAGCCCTGGCTAACCTGGAATTTTGATATGGAGACCAAGCTGGCCTCAAACTCACAGAGATCTGCCTGGCTCTGCTTCCAAGGGTCTGGGATTAAATACATGCACCACCATGCTCAACCTCTTCAGGACATTTTCATGCTGTGTATAGGGAGCAAAATGTAACACTTACCTTTCTGCTGCTGTCTTTGGTTTGCTGATCTCCTTTGGCTGTGTGCCTGGGAGTGGGTAACTGGTAAAACCATCAGGCTATTGCATAGGTTCCTGTGATTGAGTGCAGACCATCAGCCTTGTGCAGCAAGTGTGTGACTCACTGAGCTATCTTGCTCTCTCTCTCTCTCTCTCTCTCTCTCTCTCTCTCTCTCTCTCTCTCTCTCTCTCTCTCTCTCTCTCTCTCTCTCTCTCTCTCTTCTCTTTCTTCTTTTTGAGACAGGGTGACAGAGTTTCTCTGTGTAGCTTTGGAGCCTGTCCTGGATCGAACTCAAAGAGATCCACCTGCCTCTCCCTCCTGAGTGCTGGGATTAAAGACTTGCATCATCACCACCTGGCAATAGCCCTATTTCTTGGGTGCCTTTCTTTTTTTCAGGGTCTTACTATGTAGCTCAGGCTGGCCTCAGACTAACAGATCTGTCTGTTTCTGCTTTTGGGATTAAAGGTGTGGACCAACATGCCCAGCTATTTGTTTTTTGGAGAATCTTCAGACTGATCTCCAAGAGTATATATGAGTTCCTTCTCCTGAATCCTTGTCAGCATTTGTTTTATAGTAGTCATTCTAACTGGAGTAAGATGGTGTCTCATATATGGATGGTGTGTATTTCACTGATTACAAATGATAGCAATGTATATTTGTGTTGGCTAATTATTTGTATTTTGACAGATTCCTATGCAGCACATTTGCCCCTTCTTTAATTTATTGAACTACTTTTTTGTTGTTGTTTGTTTGGTCTTTCAAGGCAGGGTTTCTCTACATAGTCCTTACTATCCTGGAACTCACTGTGTAGACCAGGCAGGCCTCAGAGATCTGCCTGCCTCTACCTCCTGAGTGCTGGGATTAAAGCTGTGTGCCGCTCAGTGGACTACTCATTTTTAAGTTCCATATATGTTCTGACTGTCTACCCTGCCAGATGAGTAGGTCACATATTTTTTCCCATATTCTTTACTCAGTAGATTGTTTACTTTGCTGAGCAAGAAGCTTTTTAGTTTGTTGTAATTTTTTTTCCTCCTAGTACTTTTACTATCTTTCCCCCAAAAAAGAAATCCTTGCCTATTGAAGAGTTGTGAAGCAGTGGCCATGTGCTTTCTTCTGCAGTCCGAGTTTCAGATGTTAAGCGTTATCTGTTGTTGACTATTGTGTGTAGGAAGAGACAGGTCTGGTTCATACTTTGCATCTAGATTCCCAGCTTTCCCTGTGCTTTGCCCACTGTCTGTTGTTAGCACCTTCATTGAAGACCAGCTAACAATAGAGGCATGCTTATGCTCCTAAGTTCTGTGCTGTGCTGTAGCTTTTAGGCTCTTCTGTGGTAATGTGACAGCCATCTCTGTTGTCCTTTTTGTCCAAGATTGCTTTGACTATTTGGGTATTGTCTGCTTGCTTCCTTGTTTGATAGGTCCATATGAATTCAGGACTTTTTCCTTAGTTATATGAAGGATTCCACTAAATCTGTATGTCACTTTAAGGGGATGATTCAGCAGTACATATGCCCAATGTCTGAATATGGACATGGACTGTCTTTCTATTCTTTTGTGTTCTCTTTGAGTTCTGTCATTAGTGTTTTATAGTTTTTTGTAGTAGTCTTTCCTCTTTATTTAAATATATTCCCAGGTTCTTGTTTCTATGGCTGTTGTAAATGAGATTGTTTTCATATAACTTTTTTCTTTTTTCAAGACAGGGTTTCTCTGTAGCTTTGGAACCTGGTAGTCCTGGTAGTCCAGGCTGACCTTGAACTCACAGAGATCCGCCTGCCTCTGCCTCCTGAGGTCTGGGATTAAAGGCACACACCATTACCACCCAACTTGTTTTCATATAATTTGTTGTTGGTGTATGAAAATACTGATTTCTGTATGTTGATACTTTTGATGATACCTTGTCAACCTGACTGCATTTTGAAGTACCTTGGAATCTTGAAGACTGGATGTGGTGGCTCGTGCCTTTAATCCCAGATTTTGGAGGCAGTCACATCTCTGTGAGTTTGAGGCAGCCAGGTATACATTGTGAATTCTAGGACAGCCAGGAATACATAGACCCTATCTTTAAAAAAAAAAAAGCTTGACTACCTGAATTCAGTTCCCAGAATCTACATGGTGGAGGGGTAGAGCCAACTCCTGTAATTTATGCTCTGGCCTCCACATGCTCTGTGGCATAAGTAGGCAAGCAGGCTGGCATGTGCACCATGTGCACATACACACACACCTCAGTTCATATCCCTAGAACCCTCATAAAAAACTGGCACAGTAATAATGTGCCTATAACTCCAGCATTACGAAGAATGACATAGGAAGATCCCTGGGGCTTGCTGACTGCCAGTCTGGCAGAATCAGTGAACTCCAAGTGCAGGGAGAGACCTATTTCCAAGATAAGGTGGAAAGCCATAGAGAAAAACATGCATCATTGACCTTTGGTTTCATGTGTATGCACACTTACACACACAAATGTACAGGAACATGAATACAAAGGCACCTAGATTACTAAAGTACACCAGTGTGTGTGTGAGGGCATTTCTGGAGGCAGCTGGATCATCAAGGCTTTGTCCTAGCTATTTATTTAATCCATTCAAAATCTGAAGCCAGGGGTGATGGTGTACCCCGTTAATCCTAGAGGTGGAGGCAAGAGGATCAGCTCCAGCTATATAGTGAGTTTAAAGCTACCCTGAATTTCAAGAGACATTGACTCAAAAATGTTTTGGATAGGTTGTTGGGAAATGGTGGAACTGTAGAACTCAAGGCCTTCATGAAGGAAGTGGGTCCCTAAGGGCATGCCTTGGAAGACAGTATCTGGGCCCTGGCCTCCCTCTCATTACTTGTTTTGTTGCCTAACTGCCATGAAGTAAATAACTTAATTCATACCCTTCCTCTGTGTTTCTGCCTTACCACAGACTCACAAACCATGGAGCCACCTGACCATGGAGGGTAACTGAATAAATATCTCTCCCTTGAGTTGGATTTGATCACAACAGAAGCTTACTAAACAACCTTGTCTGCCACAACTCTAATTAGAATCTAGTTAAGGTCTTGAGAGGCATATTATTAGAGAACCCTTGCCCAGTAGACTATGCTCATTTGTCTGCTTCCTTGAGTAATTCTGTCCTCCCAGCTACCCCCAGTATGTCTGTAGGAGGGTGTTCTGCTCTTCTGGTTGTTTTGTTTTTTGGTTTTTCAAGACAGGGTTTCTCTGTGGCTTTGGAGACTGTCCTGGAACTCTTTGAAGACCATGCTGGCCTCAAAACTCACAGAGATCCACCTGTCTCTCCTCCTGAGTGCTGGGATTTAAGGCGTGCACCATCACTGCCCGGCTTGTTTTAGTTCTTTAATCGGTGTGTGAATCTAATAGCCTTAGCACCAACTTCTGTTGTGCAGTAAGGGACAGCAGGATCCAGCAGGATCCTACAGGCAAAGGTGTTGAAAGGGTTCGGGACAGATTGTCAATAAGAAACTACCATATGGAATACAGCAAAGATACCATATGGAAAGTAAAACTGGGCATTACATAGCAGGGTAGACTTTCTCTGAAAGTTGACAAAGACAAATTTGGTCTTAGAGAGTCCTGTCAAACTTGTAACACAGTTAAAAGTACCGTCTCTGGAAAAAGAATTTTAACCCTGTTGTATTAGATAATTATTTACCTCAACCTTCTGTTTCCTCATCTATAAAATGGGAATTAAAAATGTCTGTACTAACATTCACTATAGAGATAATTACAAGACAATTTAGAATTAATCCAACTTCCTCTGCCATGTTCCTTTTTCCTGTTCTTTGCCTCCCTTTCTCATGTGCGTGCGTG